CGCCTTGTATACAAGATGTCGTGGGTTTGATTTTAACATTGACATCTGTGTGTGTTTGGAGTTGGCATGTTCTCTCTCTCTCTCTCTTCCCGTGGTCGCGAGGATTTTCATCCGGGTCCTCCGGTTTTCCTCCCTCCACATTCAGAACATTATCATGACGCATTTTAGACTCTCTCTCCCCACTCTCTCCCCACTCTCTCCCCACTCTCCTCACTCTCTCCCCACTCTCCCCCCTCTCTCCGCACTCTCTCTCCACTCTCTCTCCCCACTCTCTCACTCTCTCTCCCCACTCTCCCACTCTCTCTCCCCACTCTCCCCACTCGCTCCCCACTCTCCCCACTTTCTCCCCCACTCTCTCCCCACTCTCCCCCCCACTCTCCCTACTCTCGCCACACTCTCCCACTCTATCTCCCCACTCTCTCTCCCACTCTCTCTCCCACTCTCTCTCCCATTCTCTCTCCCACTCTCCCCACTCCCTCTCCCACTCTCTCCCCCACTCTCCCCCCTCTCTCCCCCCTCTCTCCCCACTCTCTCCCCACTCTCTCCCCCCACTCTCTCCCCCCCCCCCCCTCTCTCCCCCACTCTTTCCCCCACTCTCTCCCCACTCTTCCCCACTCTCCCTCCCCTCTCTCCCCCACTCTCTCTCCCCACTCTCACTCTCTCTCCCCCCCCCACTCGCTCTCTTTCCCCCCCTCTCTCCCCCTCTCTCGCCCCCACTCTCTCGCTCTCTCCCACTTCTCCCCCCCCACTCTCTTTCTCCCCACTCCCCCCCTCTCACCCCACTCCCCCCCACTCTCTCTCTCTCCCCCCCTCTCTCCCCCACTCCCCCACCCCCCACTCTCTCTCTCTCCCCCTCTCTCCCTCACTCCCCCACCCCCCACTCTCTCTCTCTCCCCCGTCTCTCCTCCTACTCTAAAACGTCGCCAGCCTCTCCCCGGATCGCTTCAAAGTCAGGAGGCCGCCACACAAGTAAGTTCGCGACTCGCGAGGGGCGTGCGCGTGTGTGACCGTCGCGACAACAAAGATTAACTATTAACAAACTTTAACTAAACTTTATTTTAATTTCCACCACGCCAAGTCCGCTGAAGCTGTGTAGGGAGCGTTGCTTTTTTTTTACAAAAGCGACCCCTGGGCTAGCCACAAATGATTGCCCGACGGGGTGAGATTGTCGTGTTCGCGTGGAAATGTTTGTAGGGGGCAGCCAAACACTCCGTGATCACGTGACGCTCGTGGTGAATGTTGTAGGGGGGGCAGCCAGACACTCCGTGATCACGTGACGCTCCTCGTGAATGTTGTAAGGGGGGCAGCCAAACACTCCGTGAACACGTGACGCTCGTTGTGAATGTTGTAGGGGGGCAGCCAAACACTCCGTGAACACGTGACGATCGTGGTGAATGTTGTAGGGGGGGCAGCCAAACACTCCGTGAACACGTGACGCTCGTGGTGAACGTTGTAAGGGGGGCAGCCAAACACTCCGTGAACACGTGACGCTCGTGGTGAATGTTGTAAGGGGGGCAGCCAAACACTCCGTGAACACGTGACGCTCCTCGTGAATGTTGTAAGGGGGGCAGCCAAACACTCCGTGAACACGTGACGCTCGTGGTGAATGTTGTAGAGGGGGGCAGTCAGACACTCCGTGAACACGTGACGCTCGTGGTGAACGTTGTAAGGGGGGCAACCAAACACTCCGTGAACACGTGACGCTCGTGGTGAATGTTGTAAGGGGGGGCAGCCAAACACTCCGTGAACACGTGACGCTCGTGGTGAATGTTGTAAGGGGGGCAGCCAAACACTCCGTGAACACGTGACGCTCGTGGTGAATGTTGTAAGGGGGGCAGCCAGACACTCCGTGAACACGTGACGCTCGTGGTGAATGTTGTAAGGGGGGGCAGCCAAACACTCCGTGAACACGTGACGCTCGTGGTGAATGTTGTAGGGGGGGCAGCCAGACACTCCGTGAACACGTGACGCTCGTGGTGAATGTTGTAGGGGGACAGCCAGACACTCCGTGAACACGTGACGCTCGTGGTGAATGTTGTAGGGGGGGCAGCCAAACACTCCGTGAACACGTGACGCTCGTGGTGAATGTTGTAGGGGGGCAGCCAAACACTCCGTGAACACGTGACGCTCGTGGTGAGTGTTGTAGGGGGGCAGCCAAACACTCCGTGAACACGTGACGCTCGTGGTGAATGTTGTAAGGGGGGCAGCCAAACACTCCGTGAACACGTGACGCTCGTGGTGAATGTTGTAGGGGGGACAGCGCAAACTGCAAATATACAGCAGCAGCAGCAGGCGTCGTCAGAGTCGGGATCGAACCCACGACCTCCTGTACACCAGGCGAGGTAGTCAACATCTCATAGCCACCACGGTGACCTCACGATATCACACCTCACGATATCACACCTCACGATATCACACGATATCGCACATCACGATATCGCACGATATCACAGGATATCGCACCTCACGATATCACACCTCACGATATCACACCACACGATATCGCACCTCACGATATCACACCTCACGATATCACACCTCAAGATATCGCACCTCACGATATCACCTCACAATATCACACCTCACAATATCACACGATATGACACCTCACGATATCACACATCACGATATGACACGATGTCACACCTCACGATATCACACGATATCACACCTCACGATATCTCACCTCACGATATCGCACCTCACGATATCACACCTCACGATATTACACGATATCATACCTCACGATATCACACCTCACGATATCGCACGACATCACACGATATCTCACCTCACGATATCAAACCTCACGATATCACACGATATCACACGATATGACACCTCACGATATCACACCTCACGATATCCCACCTCACGATATCACACCTCTCGATATCGCACATCACGATATTACACGATATCACACCTTACGATATCACACCTCACGATATCACACCTCACGATATCACACGATATGACACCTCACGATATGACGCAATATCACACCTCACGATATCACACCCCACGATATCACACCTCACGATATCACACAATATCACACGATATCACACCTCACGATATCACACGATATGACACCTCACTATATCACACGATATGACACCTCACTATATCACACGATATGACACCTCACCATATCACACCTTACGATATCACACGATATCACAAGATATGACACCTCACGATATCACACGATATGACACCTCACGATATCACACGATATGACACGTCACGATATCACACGATATGACACCTCACGATATCACACGATATGACACGTCACGATATCACACGATATGACACCTCACGATATCACACAATATCACACGATATCACACCTCACGATATCACACGATATGACACCTCACTATATCACACGATATGACACCTCACTATATCACACGATATGACACCTCACCATATCACACCTTACGATATCACACGATATCACAAGATATGACACCTCACGATATCACACGATATCACACCTCACGATATCACACAATATCACACGATATCACACCTCACGATATCACACGATATGACACCTCACTATATCACACGATATGACACCTCACTATATCACACGATATGACACCTCACCATATCACACCTTACGATATCACACGATATCACAAGATATGACACCTCACGATATCACACGATATGACACCTCACGATATCACACGATATGACACGTCACGATATCACACGATATGACACCTCACGATATCACACGATATGACACGTCACGATATCACACGATATGACACCTCACGATATCACACGATATGACACGTCACGATATCACACGATATGACACCTCACGATATCACACCTTACGATATCACACGATATCACACAATATGACACCTCACGATATCACACGATTTCGCACCTCACGATATCACACCTCACGATATCACACCTCACGATATCACAAGTCACGATATCACACGTCACGATATCACACCTCACGTTATCACACCTCACGATATCACAAGATATCACACCTCACGATATCACACCTCACGATATCACACGATATCACACCTCACGATATCACACCTCACGATATCACACCTCACGATATCACACGATATGACACCTCACAATATCACACCTCACGATATCACACGATATCGCACCTCACGATATCACACGATATCGCCCCTCACGATATCACACGATATCACACCTCACGATATCACACCTCACGATATCACACCTCACGATATCACACCTCACGATATCACATCTCACGATATCGCACATCACGATATCGCACCTCACGATATCACACGATATCGCACCTTACGATATCACACGATATCACACCTCACGATATCACACGATATCGCACCTCACGATATCACACCTCACGATATGACATCTCATGATATCGCACCTCACGATATCACACCTCACGATATCACACGATATCGCACATCACGATATCACACGATATGACACCTCACGATATCACACCTCACGATATCACACGATATCACACCTCACGATATCACACCTCACGATATCACACCTCACGATATCACACCTCACGATATCACACGATATGACACCTCACGATATCGCACATCACGATATCACACGATATGGCACCTCACGATATGACACCTCACGATATCGCAATTCATCGTCACACCGCGGAGTGACGTAAAATCACGACCAACGATGGAATCCCAACGGGCTCCGTGTCAACAACAACAACAACACGTTGACTGTGGCCGACGTTTCGGGGCAATGGCCCTTGTTGACAGCAACACAGCGGGAGGGCCAACTCGCTCGACCTCTCTGGCCAAAGTGCTGTTAAGAAGGGGGGTGGGAGGGCAATGACCCGAAACGTCGGCTATGTTTTAAGGTCGCACAGCGTTTACTGCCGAGTGAGTTTAGTTCGTCTTACAACTTTAGCGACTGCACGAATTCATAGTCACGTGGATAGAGAAACTAGACTGCACCCTGCACACTGCACCATGCATTATGCACAATGCACCATGCACCCTGCACAATGCACCCTGCACACTGAACCCTACACACTGCACTATGCACCCTGCACACTGCACCATGCACCATGCACACTGCACAATGCACCCTGCACACTGAACCCTACACACTGCACTATGCACCCTGCACACTGCACCATGCACCATGCACCCTACACACTGCACACTGCACCATGCACACTGCACCATGCACACTGCACACTACACCATGCACACTGCACCATGCACACTGCACCCTGCACACTGCACCCTGCACACTGCACCATGCCCCCTGCACACTACACACTGCACACTGCACCATGCACACTGCACCCTGCACCATGCACCCTGCACCATGCACCCTGCACCATGCACCCTGCACCATGCACCCTGCACCATGCACCCTGCACACTGCACCCTGCACCATGCACACTGCACCCTGCACCCTGCACACTGCACACTACACACAGCACCCTGCACCATGCACCATGCACACTACACCATGCACACTGCACCATGCACACTGCACCATGCACCCTGCACACTGCACCATGCACCCTGCACACTACACACAGCACCCTGCACCATGCACACTGCACCATGCACACTGCACTATGCACACTGCACCATGCACACTGCACCATGCACACTACACCATGCACACTGCACCCTGCACACTGCACCATGCACCCTGCACCATGCACACTGCACCATGCACCCTGCACACTGCACCCTGCACACTGCACCATGCACCCTGCACCATGCACCCTGCACCATGCACACTGCACCATGCACCCTGCACACTACACACAGCACCATGCACCATGCACACTACACCATGCACACTGCACACTGCACCATGCACCCTGCACACTGCACCATGCACCATGCACCCTACACCCTGCACACTGCATAAAGAATCCAGCACGCTGCACCCAACACACGAGAGTTGGCGGCGTGGGTGGGGGGAGTGTGGTGGTGGTGGGGGGAGCGGTTGCGATGTGGTGGGGGGGAGCGGTGCGGTGTGGTGGGGGGGAGTGTGGTGGGGGCGGGGGGTGAGTGTGGTGGGGGGAGTGTGGTGGTGGTGGTGGGGAGGGAGCGGTTGCGATGTGGTGGGGAGGCAGTGTGGTGGGGTGGGAGCGTTGCGGCGTGGTGGGGTAGGGGGCCGTGTCGGTGGCTGTGTGCAGGATGAGGAGGAGGAATGTTCCTGCTGCCGTCCTCCCCTGTGAGCCGTGCGAGTCCAGACGCGCTGCACGTGGCCGGCACTTGCACCATCTGCTCACATTTTACTTCGCTCGCACGCTCGCTCATCTCGCGGCCGGGTGAAGCCGCGGCGCCGCAAGAGGCAGTAGCAGCAGCAGCTCCACTAGAAACTTCCAGCAGCTCCACTAGAAACTTCCAGCAGCTCCACTAGAAACTTCCAGCAGCTCCACTAGAAACTTCCAGCAGCTCCACTAGAAACTTCCAGCAGCTCCACTAGAAACTTCCAGCAGCTCCACTAGAAACTTCCAGCAGTAGCAGCAGCAGCTCCACTAGAAACTTCCAGCAGCTCCACTAGAAACTTCCAGCAGCTCCACTAGAAACTTCCAGCAGCTCCACTAGAAGCTCCCAGCAGCTCCACTAGAAACTTCCAGCAGCTCCACTAGAAGCTTCCAGCAGCTCCACTAGAAACTTCCAGCAGCTCCACTAGAAACTTCCAGCAGCTCCACTAGAAACTTCCAGCAGCTCCACTAGAAACTTCCAGCAGCTCCACTAGAAACTTCCAGCAGCTCCACTAGAAACTTCCAGCAGCTCCACTAGAAACTTCCAGCAGTAGCAGCAGCAGCTCCACTAGAAACTTCCAGCAGCTCCACTAGAAACTTCCAGCAGCTCCACTAGAAACTCCCAGCAGCTCCACTAGAAACTTCCAGCAGTAGCAGCTCCACTAGAAGCTCCCAGCAGCTCCACTAGAAGCTTCCAGCAGTAGCAGCAGCTCCACTAGAAACTTCCAGCAGCTCCACTAGAAGCTCCCAGCAGCTCCACTAGAAACTTCCAGCAGCTCCACTAGAAACTTCCAGCAGCTCCACTAGAAACTTCCAGCAGCTCCACTAGAAGCTTCCAGCAGCTCCACTAGAAACTTCCAGCAGCTCCACTAGAAACTTCCAGCAGCTCCACTAGAAACTTCCAGCAGCTCCACTAGAAACTTCCAGCAGCTCCACTAGAAACTTCCAGCAGCTCCACTAGAAACTTCCAGCAGCTCCACTAGAAACTTCCAGCAGCTCCACTAGAAACTTCCAGCAGCTCCACTAGAAACTTCCAGCAGCTCCACTAGAAACTTCCAGCAGTAGCAGCAGCAGCTCCACTAGAAACTTCCAGCAGCTCCACTAGAAACTTCCAGCAGCTCCACTAGAAACTCCCAGCAGCTCCACTAGAAACTTCCAGCAGTAGCAGCTCCACTAGAAGCTCCCAGCAGCTCCACTAGAAGCTTCCAGCAGTAGCAGCAGCTCCACTAGAAACTTCCAGCAGCTCCACTAGAAGCTCCCAGCAGCTCCACTAGAAACTTCCAGCAGCTCCACTAGAAACTTCCAGCAGCTCCACTAGAAACTTCCAGCAGCTCCACTAGAAGCTTCCAGCAGCTCCACTAGAAACTTCCAGCAGCTCCACTAGAAACTTCCAGCAGCTCCACTAGAAACTTCCAGCAGCTCCACTAGAAACTTCCAGCAGCTCCACTAGAAACTTCCAGCAGTAGCAGCAGCAGCTCCACTAGAAACTTCCAGCAGCTCCACTAGAAACTTCCAGCAGCTCCACTAGAAACTCCCAGCAGCTCCACTAGAAACTTCCAGCAGTAGCAGCTCCACTAGAAGCTCCCAGCAGCTCCACTAGAAGCTTCCAGCAGTAGCAGCAGCTCCACTAGAAACTTCCAGCAGCTCCACTAGAAGCTCCCAGCAGCTCCACTAGAAACTTCCAGCAGCTCCACTAGAAACTTCCAGCAGCTCCACTAGAAACTTCCAGCAGCTCCACTAGAAGCTCCCAGCAGCTCCACTAGAAACTTCCAGCAGCTCCACTAGAAACTTCCAGCAGCTCCACTAGAAACTTCCAGCAGCTCCACTAGAAGCTTCCAGCAGCTCCACTAGAAACTTCCAGCAGCTCCACTAGAAACTTCCAGCAGCTCCACTAGAAACTTCCAGCAGCTCCACTAGAAACTTCCAGCAGCTCCACTAGAAACTTCCAGCAGTAGCAGCAGCAGCTCCACTAGAAACTTCCAGCAGCTCCACTAGAAACTTCCAGCAGCTCCACTAGAAACTCCCAGCAGCTCCACTAGAAACTTCCAGCAGTAGCAGCTCCACTAGAAGCTCCCAGCAGCTCCACTAGAAGCTTCCAGCAGTAGCAGCAGCTCCACTAGAAACTTCCAGCAGCTCCACTAGAAGCTCCCAGCAGCTCCACTAGAAACTTCCAGCAGCTCCACTAGAAACTTCCAGCAGCTCCACTAGAAACTTCCAGCAGCTCCACTAGAAGCTCCCAGCAGCTCCACTAGAAACTTCCAGCAGCTCCACTAGAAACTTCCAGCAGCTCCACTAGAAACTTCCAGCAGCTCCACTAGAAACTTCCAGCAGCTCCACTAGAAACTTCCAGCAGTAGCAGCAGCAGCTCCACTAGAAACTTCCAGCAGCTCCACTAGAAGCTTCCAGCAGTAGCAGCAGCAGCTCCACTAGAAACTTCCAGCAGCTCCACTAGAAGCTCCCAGCAGCTCCACTAGAAGCTCCCAGCAGCTCCACTAGAAGCTTCCAGCAGTAGCAGCAGCTCCACTAGAAGCTTCCAGCATCTCCACCTGAAGCTTCCAGCAGCTCCACTAGAAACTTCCAGCAGCTCCACTAGAAACTTCCAGCAGTAGCAGCAGCTCCACTAGAAACTTCCAGCAGCTCCACTAGAAGCTTCCAGCAGTAGCAGCAGCAGCTCCACTAGAAACTTCTAGCAGCTCCACCAGAAGTTCCCAGCAGCTCCACCTGAAGCTTCCAGCAGCTCCACTAGAAGCTTCCAGCAGCTCCACTAGAAGCTTCCAGCAGCTCCACTAGAAGCTCCCAGCAGCACCACTAGAAGCTTCCAGCAGTAGCAGTAGCGGCTCCACTAGAAGCTTCCAGCAGCTCCACTAGAAACTCCCAGCAGTAGCAGCAGCAGCTCCACTAGAAGCTCCCAGCAGTCCCAGCAGCTCCACCTGAAGCTTCCAGCAGAAACAGCAGCAGCTCCACCTGAAGCTCCCAGCAGCTCCACCTGAAGCTCCCAACAGTAGCAGCAGCAGCTCCACTACAAGCTCCCAGCAGCTCCACTAGAAGCTCCCAGCAGCTCCACTAGAAGCACCCAGCAGCTCCACTAAAAGCTCCCAGCAGCTCCACCTGAAGCTCCCAGCAGCTCCACCTGAAGCTCCCAACAGTAGCAGCAGCAGCTCCACTACAAGCTCCCAGCAGCTCCACTAGAAGCTCCCAGCAGCTCCACTAGAAGCACCCAGCAGCTCCACTAGAAGCTCCCAGCAGCTCCACTAGAAGCACCCAGCAGCTCCACTAGAAGCTCCCAGCAGCTCCACTAGAAGCACCCAGCAGCTCCACTAGAAGCTCCCAGCAGCTCCACTAGAAGCTTCCAGCAGCTCCACTAGAGGCTCCCAGCAGCTCCACTAGAAGCTCCCAGCAGCTCCACTAGAAGCTCCCAGCAGCTCCACTAAAAGCTCCCAGCAGCTCCACTAGAGGCTCCCAGCAGCTCCACTAAAAGCTCCCAGCAGCTCCACTAGAAGCTCCCAGCAGCTCCACTAGAAGCTCCCAGTAGCTCCACTAGAAGCTCCCAGCAGCTCCACTAGAAGCTCCCAGCAACTCCACTAGAAGCTCCCAGCAGCTCCACTAGAAGCTCCCAGAAGCTCTACTAGAAGCTCCCAGCAGCTCCACTAGAAGCTCCCAGCAGCAGCAGCTCCACCTGAAGCTCACAGCAGCTCCACTAGAAGCTTCCAGCAGCTCCACCTGAAGCTCCCAGCAGCTCCACTAGAAGCTCCCAGCAGCTCCACTAAAAGCTCCCAGCAGCTCCACTAAAAGCTCCCAGCAGCTCCACTAGAAGCTCCCAGCAGCTCCACTAGAAGCTCCCAGCAGCTCCACTAGAAGCTCCCAGCAGCTCCACTAGAAGCACCCAGCAGCTCCACTAGAAGCTCCCAGCAGCTCCACTAGAAGCTCCCAGCAGCTCCACTAGAAGCACCCAGCAGCTCCACTAGAAGCTCCCAGCAGCTCTACTAGAAGCTCCCAGCAGCAGCAGCTCCACCTGAAACTCCCAGCAGCTCCACTAGAAGCTTCCAGCAGCTCCACCTGAAGCTCCCAGCAGCTCCACTAGAAGCTTCCAGCAGCTCCACTAGAAGCTTCCAGCAGCTCCACCTGAAGCTCCCAGCAGCTCCACTAGAAGCTCCCAGCAGCTCCACTAGAAGCTCCCAGCAGCAGCAGCTCCACTAGAAGCTCCCAGCAGCTCCACTAGAAGCTTCCAGCAGCTCCACTGGAAGCTTCCAGCAGCTCCACTAGAAGCTTCCAGCAGCTCCACCTGAAGCTCCCAGCAGCTCCACTAGAAGCTTCCAGCAGCTCCACTGGAAGCTTCCAGCAGCTCCACTAGAAGCTTCCAGCAGCTCCACCTGAAGCTCCCAGCAGTCCCAGAAGCCCCACTAGAAGCTCCCAGCAGCAGAAGCTCCACCTGAAGCTCCCAGAAGCTCCACTAGCAGCTCCCAGCAGCAGCAGCTCCATCTGAAGCTCCCAGAAGCTCCACTAGCAGCTCCCAGCAGCAGCAGCTCCACCTAAAGCTCCCGGCAGTAGCAGCAGCGCCTCATTGTTCACCCTCCACTCCTTCTCCTCCTCTTGCTCCTCCTCTTCTACCTCCTCACAGGCCACGCGATGGAGTCACGAGTGCTGATGATGATGGTGGTGCTGATTATGATGATGATCGTGGTGCCACACGTTCAGGCGCAAGTGGCTGGGTGAGACTTCAGCAGCTACTTCAGCAACTACCACTACAACTACTACCACCACCACAACTACGACCACCACCACAACTAATACCACAACCACCACGACTACCACAGCAACTGCCACAACAACTATCACGACCACAACTAACACCACCACTGCTGCTGCTGATGATGATGCCAATGCTGATACTACTGATGATGCTACTGATGATGATACTGATGATGCTGAGGATGCTGATGCTGATGATGCTGATGCTGATGATGATAATAAACCTGATGCTCATACTGATGCTGCTGATGGTGATGCTGACGATAATGCCCTCGCAGGCACAACTTTGCGTGCAGAGGGGATCTGTGGGGGGATTCGGCGAGGATGCTGCTGCTGAACATGATGATGTTGTTGCCGATGATGCTGATGATGTTTTTTGCCGCTGATGTGGACGACGCTGATGCTGCTCATGATGACGATGATACTGCTACTGATGATGCTGATGATACTGCTCCGGATGATGCTGCTGCTGATGATGATAATACTGCTACTGATGATGATGATACTGCTACTGATGATGCTGTTGCCATCGCAGGCCCAACTTTGCGTGCAGAGGGGATCTGTGGGGGGGGGGGGGGGAAATTCGGCGTGGATGCTGCTGCTGAAGATGATGATGATGTTTTTTGCCGCTGATGTGGACGACGCTGATGCTGCTCATGATGATGATGATACTGCTACTGATGATGCTGATGATACTGCTCCGGATGATGCTGCTGCTGATGATGATGATACTGCTACTGATGATGCTGTTGCCATCGCAGGCCCAACTTTGCGTGTGGAGGGCATCTGTCCGGCGAGTCGGGGTTTTTCGGCAGTCCGGGGTTCCCCCAGAAATACCTCGCGGATCAGGACTGTGAGTGGAGGATCACGGTGCGTGACCTCCTCGCGTGACCTTGCATGACCTCCGAGTGTGACCTTGCGTGACCTCCGAGTGTGACCACTCTGCGTGACCTCTGGGCGTGACTCCCATGCGTGACCTCCGAACGTGACCTCCGCACGTGACTTCCGTTCATGGCGTCTGTGCGTGACCTCCGCGCGTGACCTTCGTGCGTGACCTCTGGGCGTGACCTCTGCACGTGACCTCCGAGGCGTGACATGCTACTACTTGACCCCGTAAATGACCTCTTGGACACGGCTGGAGCTCGCGAGTGCTCGCCGGCTGCTCCCTCGCTCGCTGGGGTTCAATCGTAGGCCTGGCTGCGTGTGCTCGCACGCCATCCACGCACCTCTGATTAGCACGGTTGGCTACGTACGGTGTGAAAGAAGTTCAACATACATCCATACTGACCATAGACTAACACTGTCCATAGATGCAACACTACCCATAGGCTAACACCACCCATTGACTCAACACTGCCCTTAGACTCAACACTGCCCATAGACTCAACACTGCCCATAGATTCAACACTGCACCATAGACTCAACACTGCCCATAGACTCAACACTGCCCATAGACTCAACACTGCCCATAGACTCAACACTACCCATAGACTCAACACTGCACCATAGACTCAACACTGCCCATAGATTCAACACTGCACCATGGTGGTGGTTGTGTTGATTGTGGCTTTAGTTGTGGTGGTGGTGGTTGTGTTTATTGTGGCTTTAGTTGTGGAGGTGGTGGTGGTGGTTGTGTTGATTGTGGCTTTAGTTGTGGAGGTGGTGGTGGTTGTGTTTATTGTGGCTTTAGTTGTGGAGGTGGTGGTGGTGGTTGTGTTGATTGTGGCTTTAGTTGTGGAGGTGGTGGTGGTTGTTGTGTTGATTGTGGCTTTAGTTGTGGAGGTGGTGGTGGTTGTGTTGATTGTGGTTTTAGTTGTGGAGGTGGTGGTGGTTGTGTTGATTGTGGCTTTAGTTGTGGAGGTGGTGGTGGTTGTGGTTGTGTTGGTTGTGGCTTTAGTTGTGGAGGTGGTGGTGGTGGTGGTTGTGTTGATTGTGGCTTTAGCTGTGGTGGTTGTGTTGATTGTGGCTTTAGTTGTGGAGGTGGTGGTGGTTGTGTTGATCGTGGCTTTAGTTGTGGAGGTGGTGGTTGTGTTGATTGTGGCTTTAGTTGTGGTGGTGGTTGTGTTGATTGTGGCTTTAGTTGTGGAGGTGGTGGTGGTTGTGTTGATTGTGGCTTTAGTTGTGGTGGTTGTGTTTATTGTGGCTTTAGTTGTGGAGGTGGTGGTGGTTGTGTTGACTGTGGCTTTAGTTGTGGAGGTGGTGGTGGTGGTTGTGTTGATTGTGGCTTTAGTTGTGGGGGTGATGGTGATGGTTGTGTTGATTGTGGCTTTAGTTGTGGAGGTGGTGGTGGTGGTTGTGTTGATTGTGGCTTTAATTGTGGAGGTGGTGGTGGTTGTGTTGATTGTGGCTTTAGTTGTGGAGGTGGTGGTGGTTGTATTGATTGTGGCTTTAGTTGTGCAGGTGGTGGTGGTGGTTGTGTTGATTGTGGCTTTAGTTGTGGAGGTGGTGGTGGTTGTGTTGATTGTGGCTTTAGTTGTGGAGGTGGTGGTGGTGGTTGTGTTGATTGTGGCTTTAGTTGTGGAGGTGGTGGTGGTGGTTGTGTTGATTGTGGCATTAGTTGTGGAGGTGGTGGTGGTGGTTGTGTTGATCGCGGCTTTAGTTGTGGAGGTGGTGGTGGTTGTGTTGATTGTGGCTTTAGTTGTGGAGGTGGTGGTGGTTGTGTTGTTTGTGGCTTTAGTTGTGGTGGTGGTTGTGTTGATTGTGGCTTTAGTTGTGGAGGTGGTGGTGGTGGTTGTGTTGATTGCCGCTTTAGATGTGGAGGTGGCGGTGGTTGTGTTGATTGTGCCTTTAGTTGTGGTGGTGGTGGTTGTGTTGATTGTGGCTTTGGTTGTGGAGGTGGTGGTGGTGGTTGTGTTGATTGCCGCTTTAGATGTGGAGGTGGCGGTGGTTGTGTTGATTGTGGCTTTAGTTGTGGTGGTGGTGGTTGTGTTGATTGTGGCTTTAGTTGTGGAGGTGGTGGTTGTGTTTATTGTGGCTTTAGTTGTGGTGGTGGTTGTGTTGATTGTGGCTTTAGTTGTGGAGGTGGTGGTGGTGGTTGTGTTGATTGTGGCTTTAGTTGTGGAGGTGGTGGTGGTGGTGGGGGTGGAGATTGGGGAGCGGTAGTGTCACGGTTGCCAGTCTATGCTACAAGCCCGGCCACACGAGTTCGATTCTCGTTCACAGCCAACACCAGTGACAATTATCTGAATCGCTCCTGGGCCTCCCCTAGGTTGACTCAGCCTCAATTCGTACCTGGTGCGGTGCGTTGTAAACATCGCCCTTTTGGAGACAAAGGCGGACCGGCGTGGTGCTGGTCACACCGTGCCGGCCTTCGTAGGCGCTGCTACTCGCTAACAGCACTTGCCCCAACAGTCTGTTATAGGCTACACGGGGGACCTTTGTCTTTGTTTGCGTCTGTGTGTGTGTGATTGACAGGTTCCAAAAGATCGAGTCGTCTTCCTCTCGTTTCGATTCTTTGACCTGGAGAGTGACCCACACTGCAGGTGCATTGAACACACACCAAACACCCACACCACACACACCACACTCACACCACACTCACACACACACACACCACACACACACCACACACACACCATACACACAGACCAAACTCACACACCACACACACACACCACACACACACCACACACACCACACACACACCACACACTCACATACCACACACACACACCACACACACCACACACACACCGCACAAACACACACCACACACACACCACACACACACCACACACACCACACACACATCACACACACCACACACTCACATACCACACACCACACACACACACCACACACACACACCGCACACACACACACACACCACACACACACCACACACATCACACACACTCAGCTCCACATCCTCCTGTACCACATCACTCCATCTCTTCTCCAGGCCATGCCGCGCCCGTTTAGCCCCCTCTATCCGGCCGAACAAAAGCTGTTTAGGCATGCGGTGACTGGGCATGCGGGCTACATGACCCAGACAACGTATCCTTGACCAAGTCAATAAAGCAGAGATGTAGGTTTTGTTGGAATTCCCTACACATCTGCTGTAGCAGACGGACAGGAAATATGGCATCTGTGCAGGACCGCCCTTTCCGGAAAACCGCATTGGGGCTCCGCAAGCCACTTCTCAGCGTGCCTAGTAATGCTACCCCTAACCCTATCAATATCCCTAGTACACCCCCTCTATCACTACCCCTAATGCTACCCCTAACAATAACCCTAGTACACCCCCTCTAACACTACCCCTAATGCTACCCCTAACCCTAACAATAACTCTAGTACACCCCCTATAACACTACCCCTAATACTACCCCTAACCCTAACAATAACCCCTAGTACACCCTCTCTAACACTACCTCTAATGCTACCCCTAACCCTAACAATAACCCTAGTACACCCCCTCTAACACTACCCCTAATGCGACCCCTAACAATAACCCTAGTACACCCCCTCTAACACTACCCTTAATGTTACCCCTAACAATAACCCCTAGTACACCCTCTCTAACACTACCCCTAATGCTACCCCTAACCCTAACAATAACCCTAGTACACCCCCTATAACACTACCCCTAATACTACCCCTAACCCTAACAATAACCCCTAGTACACCCTCTCTAACACTACCTCTAATGCTACCCCTAACCTTAACAATAACCCTAGTACACCCCCTCTAACACTACCCCTAATGCGACCCCTAACAATAACCCCTAGTACACCCCCTCTAACACTACCCTTAATACTACCCCTAACCCTAACAATAACCCTAGTACACCCCCTCTAACACTACCCTTAATGTTACCCCTAACAATAACCCCTAGTACACCCTCTCTAACACTACCGCTAATGCTACCCCTAACCCTAACAATGACCCCTAGTACACCCCCTCTAACACTACCTCTAATGCTACCCCTAACCCTAACAATAACCCTAGTACACCCCCTCTAACACTACCCCTAATGCTACCCCTAACCCTAACAATAACCCTAGTACACCCCCTCTCACACTACCCTTAATGCTACCCCTAACCGTAACAATAACCCCTAGTACACCCCCTCTCACACTACCCCTAATGCTACCTCTAACCCTAACAATAACCCCTAGTACACCCCCTCTACCACTACCTCTAATGCTACCTCTAACCCTAACAATAACCCTAGTACACCCTCTCTAACACTACCTCTAACACTACCCCTAACCCTAACAATAACCCTAGTACACCCCCTCTAACACTACCTCTAATGCTACCCCTAACAATAACCCTAGTACACCCCCTCTAACACTACCTCTAATGCTACCTCTAACCCTAACAATAACCCCTAGTACACCCTCTCTAGCACTACCTCTAACACTACCCCTAACCCTAACAATAACCCTAGTACACCCCCTCTAACACTACCCCTAATGCTACCCCTAACCCGAACAATAACCCTAGTACACCCCCTCTAACACCACCCCTAATACTACCCCCTAACAATAACCCTAGTACACCCCCTCTAACATTACCCCTAATGCTACCCCTAACACTAACAATAACCCTAGTACACCCCCTCTAACACTACCCCTAATGCTACCCCTAACCCGAACAATAACCCCTAGTACACCCCCTCTAACACTACCCCTAATGCTACCCCTAACCCTAACAATAACCCCTAGTACACCCCCTCTAACACTATCCATAATGCTGCCCCTAACCCTATCAATACCCCTAGTACACCTTCTCTAACACTACCTCTAACACTACCCCTAATGCTACCCCTAACCCGAACAATAACCCTAGTACACCCCCTCTAACACCACCCCTAATACTACCCCCTAACAATAACCCTAGTACAACCCCTCTAACACCACCCCTAATACTACCCCTAACAATAACCCTAGTACAACCCCTCTAACACCACCCCTAATACTACCCCCTAACAATAACCCTAACAGTACCGCAATTAACACGCAAAATACGCGAACGCAAGCACCACCCTGAAACACCCACGTGGACTACTAACCCGGCAGCGCCACCACGAACCTCCGTTCAGAGAGCCACTCAACGGCCGTACTTCACCAAAGTTGTCATTTGGCGGTACACTGGCGCGAAGCGGACACACCACACGTGTAGGGTGGAGGATAAGGGGAACATTTTAAAAGTGTGGCGGTATGGAATTGCTCGATGATGACATCGTAAGAGGAGACTGGTTACAGGCGAGTTGTAGCCGCTACTGGAGCCACTAGAAGACAGAGATGGAAAGTGGAAACCACAAGTGATGAAATGTGCACCCACGATGGGGATATCGACCCTGAGATTGTGATGATGATGATGATGATGATAAACTACACTATACACTACTATACACTACGCTATATACTATACACTACACTAGTATACACTACACTAGTATACACTACACTATACACTACACGACACCACCATACACTAGGCTATACACTATACAATACACTACTATACACTACGCTATACACTACTATACACTACACTACTATTCACTACACTAGTATACACTGCACTATACACTACACGACACCACCATACACTAGGCTATACACTATACACTACTATACACGATACACTAGGCTATACACTATACAATACACTACTATACTCTATACAATACACTACACTACACCACCATACACTAGGCTATACACTATACAATACACTACCATACAATACACTATTATACACTACACTACTATACACTACGCGATACACTATACAATACACTACTATACACTACACTACTATACACTACGCTATACACTACTATACACTATGCTATACACTACACTATACACTACACGACACCACCATACACTGGGCTATACACTATACACTACTATACACGATACACTAGGTTATACACTATACAATACACTACTATACACTACACTACTATACACTACGCTACACACTACTATACACTACACTACTATACACTACGCTATACACTACTATACACTACACTACTATACACTACGCTATACACTACTATACACTACACTATACACTACACTATACACTACACTATACACTACACTATACACTACTATACACTACAGTACTATACACTTCGCTATACACTACACGACACCACCATACACTAGGCTATACACTATACACTACTATACACGATACACTAGGCTATACACTATACACTACTATACACGATATACTAGGTTATACACTATACACTACTATACACGATACACTAGGTTATACACTATACACGATACACTAGGCTATACACTATACACTACTATGACGTGGCCGCTCCTGGAGCCATGCTGGCATTATAAGACAGAGAGGAAAGTGGAATCGACACGTGACGAAATGTACAGTGGACACCTACTACGGACTACCCTGGGATCCTGATGATAATGATACACTACACTATACACTACACTATACACTACAATACTATATACTACACTATACACTACAATACTATACACTACACTATACACTACAATACTATACACTACACTATACACTACAATACTATACACTACACTACTATACACTACACTACTATACACTACACTATACACTACAATACTATACACTACACTATACACTACAATACTATACACTACACTATATACTACAATACTATACACTACACTATACACTACAATACTATACACTACACTATACACTGCAATACTATACACTACACTATACACTACAATACTATACACTACACTATACACTACAATACTATACACTACACTATACACTACAATACTATACACTACACTATACACTACACTGCTATACACTATGCTATACACTACACCACTATGTTCTAGGCTATATACTATACAATACACAATGATGTGGCACAGCTGGAGTCATATTGGCATGAGACAGAGCGGAAAGTGGAAACAACACGTGACGAAATGTACAGTGCACACCTACTACAGGCTATCTGCCCTGGGATCGTGATGATGATGATGATGATACACAACACTTCCCTGGGATCGTGATGATGATGATACACAACACTGCCCTAGGATCGTGATGATGATGATACACAACACTTCCCTGGGATCATGATGGTGATGATACACAACACTGCCCTGGGATCGTGATGATGATGATACACAACACTACCCTGGGATCGTGATGATGATGATACACAACACTGCCCTGGGATCGTGATGATGATGATGATAATGATACACAACACTGCCCTGGGATCGTGATGATGATGATGATACACAACACTGCCCTGAGATCGTGATGGTACGATTGTAAAGACGACTTGACACACTTCTCTTGAGACGGCACTTTATTGAAGACACGTTCACTTGACACCAGGCGGAGACCCCCACTGCGACAGCCCCGAGTCTCCCGCGCACCCTCCCCTTTATATACCGACACGAGGCCACGCCCCCCCCCTTCTCGATCATTCTCGCTGACTCTGGACGCTCGCTCAACCGGCAGACTCCACCGTCCCCTTCCGTCGCCTGACCACGCCCCCCTACTCGAACATTCCCCTAGCCACCAGTCCCTTCGCACTCACAACTGATACACCGCCTGTCATTACCACCAGTACCCCCCTCCCCCCACCCACCACACCGCTTGCAGGCCCCACTGTCATCACACGATTATGATGACGATGAGTACACGGTGCAGGACAGCTGTGAACATTAAGGGTACCTTTGTTGATGCATTATACGCTACGTATTTGTCGTGCTTGCTGAATGAGCAGGATGCGTACGTTAGACTGCGACGAGATTGTTAGCCGCGGACGCGGAGCCCAACCCCTCTGCTTGCCGTGGGCCCTCAAGTCTTGCCAACCGCGGTTTTGCCAACGCACCCAGAGTTTTCGCGAAACTAACCCCCTAATCGCCCCAGGTACGACCACCTCTCGGTGTTCTCGGGGGTCGGGGGGGGCTCCGAGGGAGACTCCCCACAGCTGCTGGGCCGCTTCTGCGGCTCGTTCCGCCCGGGCGCCCTGGTGTCCACGTCCCACGAGCTGCTCGCTCGATTCCACAGCGACGGCAGCGGTCAGCAGGGGGGGTTCGTGGCGGCCTACACAGCGGGGCAGCCACACCAAGCAGGTCAGTGCGCACCACCACCCCCCCCCCCCCCAATCCCAAACACCTCCCCCCAATCCCCCTCACAACCAATCCCCCCAATCCCCTTCCCAACCAATCCCCCCGATACCACCCAAACCCACTCCTCCCACCAACCCCCCAACCCCCTCACCCCCAACCCCCTCCCCCCCAACCCCCTCCCCCCCAACCCCCTCCCCGCAACCCCCCTGTACACACACATATACACACACGTGTACACACACATATACACACACCTGGACACACACATATACACACACGTGTATACACACATGTACACACACGTGTACACACCGAGACACACACCGGTACAAGACACACACACATGTACACACACATGTACACACACGTGTACACACACGTGTACACACACATGTACACACACCTGGACACACACATATACACACGTGTACACACACATGTACACACACGTGTACACACCGAGACACACACCGGTACAAGACACACACACACACGTGTACACACACCTGGACACACACGTGTACACACACCTGGACACACACGTGTACACACCGAGACACACACCGGTACAAGACACACACACGCACGTGTACACAGAAGTATACACACACACACACACCTGTACACATATCTGCACATAAGTGAACACACACACACCTGTATGCGCACCTGTACAAATGTAGTGACTGACTCAGAGGCACTAAAAGTAGGAGGCACTCTTGCTTATTAACACGGCCTGACAGTAACACTTGGTAACTACGGCTCCCAGTCAGGACAGCTGTAGACTCCAGCAGCAGCACGGCGGGGATCCCACTCCAAACAACAGCCTCGAGGTCCCCTCCTGGGGCCCCTCTTATACCGTCAGCGTGGCCTGGCTCCGCCCCCGGCCACGCCCCCTTCTAGAACCTACCCACGGGCTCTGGCTGTGCCCCTCCCGTAACCTTTCCCCTACATCCCTCTCTGGTCTATCACGTGGCCTGCTGTCAGTCGGGGCTGCTGCGAGCTGCAGATCCCCTTCCCTGCCAGCAGCCAGCGCTAGGCTTCTACGTGACCGATTCTATGTCGCTACACAAAGACAAAGATCCCCCGTATAGCCTGTAACAGACTGTTAGGGCAAGTGCTTTTAGCGAGCACCTATGAAGGCCGGCACTGTGGCACACAAGGGGGGTGGGTGACCAACACCACGGCAGGCCGCGTTTGTCTCCCAAGTGGCGATGTTTACACACCGCACCAGGTACTCATTGGAGGCTGAGTCGACCTAGGCGATGCCCAGGACCGGTTCGAATAATCGTCACCGGTGTTGGCCGTGAGCGGGAATCGAACTCGGGTCTCCGGGTTCGTAGTGCAGCGCGCTAACAGCTACACTACTGTTCCCTGTACACACACCTGTACACACACACGTGTACACACACGTGTACACACACACGTGTACACACACGTGTACACATACGTGTACACATACGTGTACACACGCATGTGTACACACATCAGTACACACACGTGTACACACAAACACGTGTACACACACCTGTACACACACATGTGTACACACACACACCTGTACACACACGTGTACACACACGTGTACACACAAACACGTGTACACACACCTGTACACACACATGTGCACACACGTGTCCATGTTGTCACAGCCGAGGGCTACTGTGGAGGGCTCTTGGAGAAGGAGGTGGGCTCCTTCAAGACCCCCAACTGGCCTCAGAGCAAGTATCCTGTAGGCATCACCTGCTCCTGGCACATCAAGGCTCCCTCCACCAAGGTAATTCCTCTTCCGAACAAACAGCAGTTCTCTTCTGAACAAACACCAGAACACCGGTCTTGTTCTGAACAAACACCAGTTCTGTTCTGAACAAACACTGGTCCTGTTCCGAACAAACACCGGTTCTGTTCCGTACAAACACTGGTCATGTTTTGAGAAATATCGGTCCTGTTCTGAACAAACACCGGTGATGTTCTGAACAAATACCGGTCCTGTTGTGAACAAAGGCTGGTCCTGTTGTGAACAAACGTGGGTCTAGTTCTGAACAGATGCCAGCCTCGTTCTGAACAGTGACCCGAGCCAAGTTCACTGATTGCAAATAAGACTCATATCCTGGTCTCTTCTGTTTTCACCCGGTCACACAACATCACCTTGGAAAGCCTCATTTTGACCCTGACCCTGACCCCAACCGTTTTCCCTGGGCCCTGGCCCTATCGCTTTGCCAGAAATCCTGACCCCTGAATGCTACCACCAGACCCTTACCCCTACCCTACCCTCTGATCCTATCCCCTGACCCCTGTTCCCTGCATCCTGAACCTAACCCTATCCCCTAAGCCCTGGCCCTATCGCTTAACCACAAATCCTGACCCCTGAGCACTACGCCTGGACCGTGACCATACCGTCTGATCCTCTCCCCTGACCCCTGTTCCGTAAATCCTGAACCTATCCCCTAACCCCTGACCCTGTCACTTAACCACAAATCCTGACCCCTGAGCACTACGCCTGGACCGTGACCATACCGTCTGATCCTTTCCCCTGACCCCTGTTCCCTAAATCCTGAACCTATTCCCTAACCCCTGACCCTGTCACTTAACCACAAATCCTGACCCCTGAATGCCACCCCTGGGCCCTGACCCTACCACCTAACCCTATCCCCTGAAACTAACCCCTGACCCTGCTGCTCCAAACCACATATCCTGACCCCCGGACCCTAACCCCTACACACCGACCCCTGACCCCACCCCGTGACCCCCGACCGGGGCCGTCTCCTAGGTGATCGAGCTGTCGTTCCGCAAGTTCTCGCTGGAGCGTGACACCTTCTGTCGCTATGACTACGTCTCCATTCTCCATGGCGACGGCGGAGGGACCAACAGCAGCGCCACCAAGTTCTGCGGGGACACGGTGCCTGAGTACGTGACACGCGTGTGTGTGTGTGCGACACGCGTGTGTGTGCGTGCGACACGCGTGTGTGCGTGCGACACGAGTGTGCGGCTGAGTCGACCTAGGGGCGGCCCAGGAAAGGTTCAGATAACACTGCGTTCCTGGGTGGTAAGTGTTATTTCCTTATTGCTTATGCCTCACAAGTACAGAAAATGGCTATTATTCCCCACAACCTTTGGTTTTGTGGCCAGGACATTGATATTTTGAAATGTACCTATTATCCAGAACATTCCAGATAGATTCAGTGCTGAGTAAACTTGGAGTAACGTCTCGAGCATTCTAGAACGTTCCAGTGATATAAATAGTAGTATAAACATAGGGGCCTTAAGCCCACTAGTTCAGTTTAGTTCCAGCTGCCTAAGTGGATACATATCTGCATTTTTCTGAGATGGCATCAAGAGGCTGCAAGCGTCCGGCAGACGCATTTTGCTATGTCTGCGGCCAATTTATCAAGACACGAGCGAGAAATTCCTCTGTGAAAGCATCTGCTAAGACGTGTGAGGCCTACAAATCATATTTCGGCATGCCTGTCGGGGATCAAGACAAACCCTGGGCACCTAATTTCACCTGCGAGCAATGCAAAAAAAACTCTGGAAGGTAAGATAGACAATTGTTTCTCGGAATTTTACGTTACAAAATTTGTCCAAAAAAATTGAACTGTAAAAGTTTTTAATTTTGAGTGGTCAGTGGTGGGAACCTACAGACCACTAAAGCAACTGATACTTCTGCATGGTGAACCCTTCCAAACGTCGGACTGGCAAGAATGCACCTGCTATCACGTACCCAGACCTTCCTTCATCCATCGCCTCATGCCACACTGCCATGAGCTCCCCGTACCCGCTCCTCCGGAGAGAGAGCAGCCGTCTTTAGAAGAAAGCAGCAAGTCAGAGAGCGAGGAAGACTTTGTAGATCCAGATGACAATTTCAGACGTGGAGCTGAGGAGAGAAACCCATACTACGCCAACCAAAAAGACCTCAATGACTTGATCAGAGATCTTGGTCTCACCAAGTCCCAATGCCGAGCTTTTGGCGTCTAGGCTCAAGCAGTGGAACTTGTTGGATGAAAGTGTGCAAGTTGCAGATCAGAGGAAGCGTCACCAACCTTTTTGCAGCTTCTTCACCCGTCAAGATGGGCTCTGCTTCTGCCACAATGTGACCAGTCTGTTCGAGGCAATCGGAATCGCCTCTAACCAGAATGAATTGGCGCCTCGTCATTGACAGCTCATCCAGGAGCCTCAAAGCCGTGCTGCTGCTCCATAATGGTAACAAGTACCCGTCTCTTCCCCTGGCTCACTCCGTGCACCTCAAAGAGGATTACAACAGCATCAAGACCTTGCTGGACGCCTTGAATCATGATGAGTATGGCTGGGAGGTCATCTGAGACTTCAAAATGGTGGCGTTTCTGATGGGTCTCCAAGTCGGTTTTACCAAGTTTCCCTGCTATCTTTGCCTTTGGGACAGCAGGGACACCAAGGCGCACTACCACAGGCAGGACTGGACACAGCGGACCGAGTTCTCTGTGGGGAGGAACAACGTCGTGGGAGCCACTGGTGGACCCCCGGAAGGTGCTGATGCCACCACTGAACATCAAATTGAGCCTCATGAAACAATTTGTCAGAGCTGTAGATAAGGAGTCGGCAACCTTCAAGCACCTTCAAGACTTCTTCCCTAAGCTCTCTGCGGCAAAGGTCAAAGCCGGTGTCTTCGTCGGACCACAGATAAAGAAGATCTTGGAGTGCAATGAATTCCCCAAGAAGCTCACTAGTAAGGAGAAAGCGGCTTGGGACAGCTTTGTCGCAGTGGTTCGTGGCTTCCTGGGCAATCACAAGGCCGAAAACTACGTGGAGCTGGTTGAGACTCTGGTGAAGCACTACGGCACAATGGGCTGTAGGATGTCCCTCAAAGTCCATATCCTTGATGCTCATCTTAATAAATTCAAGGAGAACGTGGGAGCGTACTCGGAGGAGTATGGCGAGCGCTTCCACCAGGATATACTTGAACGCCGCTGCCAAGGACAGTATTACGAGAACATGATGGGAGACTACATTTCGGGGCTGATTCATGAAAGTGACTTACAGTATAATCGTAAATCTCGAAAAACTACTCGCTTCTAAATCTTTTTTAGTAATTGTTTTATTACTTTAGTATAAATACGTGTTCATTTTGATTCATATGTTGTTGTTTTCTGACTTTATGTGAACGAAATGACACAAATTCGCCCGTTTTCTCATTGAAAATAGGTACATTTCTAAACATCACTGCCCTGGTCACCAAAGCAAAGTTCGTGGGGAATAATAGCCATTGTCTATACTTACGAAATAACACTTACTACCCAGGAACAAAAAATTGTGTTACATAGTGTAATCGTCACTGGCTTTGTCGGTGGCCCTGAGCGGGAATCAAACTCCGGTTTCCATGTTTCGCACTTAATGGAGCAAACAAAGACAAAGATCCCCCGTGTAGCCTCAACAGGCTGTTGGGGCAAGTGCCGTTAGCGAGCAGCACCTATGAAGACCGGCACGGCACACGAGGGGGTGGGTGGCCAGCACCACGCCCGGCCGCCTTTGCCTCCCTTAGTGGCAATGCTTACTACACGCCGCACCAAGTACTCATTTGAGGCTGAGTCGACCTAGAGGAGGCCCAGGTCCGGTTCAAATAATTGTCACTGGGTGCTGGCCGTGAGCGGGAATCGAACTCGGGTCGCCGGGCTCTTAGCGCAGCGTAGCGCTAACCGCTGCACCACCGCTCCCTGCGCGCACACGCCTGTACACACACGCGTACACACACGTGCGCAGACACCTGTACACACACGCACGCACGAGTATGCCCACGGCTGAGCTTCACTCCCCGTTCCCACGGCAGGCCCGTGACCTCGCCGGGGAGGGAGCTCTTCGTGCACTTCGTGTCGGACCGCAGCGTGCCGGCCGATGGCTTCATGGCCGAGTACCGCTTCCTGAACGTGGGCGGCCGCAAGGGAGACGGAGGGCCCCAGGCGACCAAGGCGCCCGCCCACATCCCCGCCGCCACTGGTGCCAGAGCGCGTAGTCACGCACCCGTGGACTTGCACACGCGGACGTGTGTGTGTGTGTGTACAGGCGCAGCAGGCGTCAGCTTGTCGGGAACGAGCCCACGACCTCCCGTAGACCGGGCGAGGTCGTTGACATCTGCCCTGGCCACCGTTGGCGCACCCTATGCTACGTCGCTATGTTGAACCTTCTTTCGCACCGTACGTAGGCAGCCGTGCTGCTAAGGTGAAGGCCGGGACGCCTCGCGAGGGCGTGCGTGACCAGCACCACGAACGAACGCGCGCCCGGCCGCCTTTATCTCCCCAGTGCTGATGTTTACACACCGCACCTAGGGGGGGCGGGGGGGTCCCAGGACCAGTTCAGATGTGAGTGTGTCAGATGGCCGTGAGCCAGAATTGAATTTGGCTCGCCCGGTTGGTAGCGCCGTGTGCTAACTGCTGCGCCACCGCTCCCCACTGCAGCGCGGTACTCGTGTGAAGATCCCCCGTGTAGCCTGTAACAGCCTGTTGGGGGCAAGTGCCGTTAGCGAGCGGCGCCTCTGGAGGCCGCCGGGGCAGGCACATGAGGCGGTGGGGGAGGCCAGCAACCACGCCCGGCCACCTTTGTCTCCCCACACACTGTGGTTCTTTCGGCAAAAAGTCAAGTAGGTATAAAATAAAATAAATGGCGACGTTTCGGGAGCAACAACAAACGTCCGTCAGTCAGGTGGGAAAGCGTTGATGTGCCGGTGAGGCGGACTGTGTTTAAAAAGGGTTTTGAAATGCAGGGTGCAGCCCAGGGGCGGGTTACATTTTTTTGACTCGCGGGCCACAATGGGTTCTGAAATTTGACAGAAGGGGCCGGGCCAGGAACCAGACGGACGGAGCGTTTGTGTGAACTTAATATAAATGACGCGTTAAAAAAAAATCATTACGTAAAAGGATTTGGCCTTTAACAGGTAGCAAAGCATTTATTTGCAAGGCAATTTAACAAATTGCGCGAACATAAACAATACAAAAAACCACGCCGTGACTCCCGGTCAAAGTGCGCCATCTAATGGGGAAACGGGGGCATTACAGGAGAAAGGTAAAATTTAATTTAATAATAATAATAATATTTGTACAAGTTCGGCGGGCCTGATTAAAAAGCCCAAAGGGCCGTATACGGCCCGGGGGCCGTACTTTGCCCTTGTCTGGTGTAGGTCAATGGGTCATGAAGCAGTGGGTGGGGCCAGGTTCGTGGTGCAGCTCTCCGTTTGGAGGAGCGCGCCCGCATTAGGGATGGAACCCAGGCGACTCCACCACCCTCCTTGTCACTGTTGGGAGCGACACTCAGCGCCGCACTGCAGCCCGCTGTCGATGGGATTGTTGTTGTTTCGTTGTTGTTGTTGTGTCGTTGTTGTTGTTGTTGTTGGCATTGTTGTCGTCGTTGGCATTGTTGCTGTGGCATTGGTTGTTGTTGATGTTTACTCTTGTTGCGTCGTTGTTGATGGTATTGTTGTTGTTGTTGATGGTATCGTTGTTGTTGATGTTGTTGATGTCATTGTTGTTGTTGATGTCATTGTTGATGGTATCGTTGTTGTTGATGTCGGCATTATTGATGTTGTTGATGGCTCCTTGATGGTGATGTCGTTGTGTTGTTGATGGTATTGTTGTTGATGTCATTGTTGCTGCTGTGGCATTGTTTGTTGTTGATGTCATTGTTTGTTGTTGATGTCATTGTTTGTTGTTGATGTTTATTCTTGTTGCGTCGTTGTTGATGGTATTGTTGTTGATGTCATTGTTGTTGTTGTTGATGGTATCGTTGTTGGTGATGTCGGCATTATTGATGTTGTTGATGGCTCCTTGATGGTGATGTCGTTGTGTTGTTGATGGTATTGTTGTTGATGTTGTCTTTGTTGTTGATGTTGTTGTTGATTGCTCCTTGTTGATGATGTCTTTGTTGTTATTGCTGGCGTTGTCGATGTCGTTGTTGATGTTGATGGCCCCTTGTTGATGGCTCCTTGTTGATGATATCTTTGTTGTTGTTGTTGTTATTGCTGGCGTTGTTGATGTTGATGTCGTTGTTGATGGCCCCTTGTTGATGGCTCGTTGTTGATGATATCTTTGTTGTTGTTGTTGTTATTGCTGGCGTTGTTGATGTTGATGTCGTTGTTGATGGCCCCTTGTTGATGGCTCGTTGTTGATGATATCTTTGTTGTTGTTGTTATTGCTACAGCCGCGCCCACCCCTGAGCCCTGTAAGGTGCCCTGCAAACGTCAGGGCAACCTGGAGACCAACTACTGCTCCAGCAAATTCGGTAGGAAGCACAACCACGTGGTAGGGGCGGTGGTGGTGGTGGTGGCGGCAGTGGTGGTGGTGGTGGTGGTGACGGCGGTGGTGGTGGTGACCGTGGTGGTGGTGGTGACGGTGGTGGTGGTGGTGACGGTGGTGGTGGCGGTGGTGACGGCAGTGGTGGTGGTCACGGTGGTGGTGGTGACGGTGGTGGTGGGAGCGGTGGTGATGGGAGTGGTGGTAATGGTGGTGAGGATAGTTGTGGTTGTTGTGCTGACGGTGGTGGTGCGGATAGTGGTGGTTGTTGCGGTGACGGTGGTTGTGGCTCAGCCACCTTGTCAACCCTCGCCCCACCCCCCCCCCCCCCGGCTGACCCCAACGGCTGACCCCCCTGGCTGACCCTTGGCTGACCTCTTGTCTGACCTCAACGGCTGACCCCCCCCGCGGCTGACCCCCTTGTCTGACCCCCCCTGCCTGACCCCAACGGCTGACCCCCCTGGCTGACCCCTTGTCTGACCTCAACGGCTGACCCCCTCCCCCCCGCGGCTGACCCTTGCCGTCTGACCCCCTTGTCTGACCCCCCCCCCCCTGCCTGACTCTAACGGCTGACCCCCCTGGCTGACCCCTGGCTGACCCCTGGCTGACCCCCCTGCCTGACCCGAACGGCTGACCCCCCCCCCCGGCTGACCCCCCCCCCCCCCCCGTGTCCGTGCAGCGATGGCGGCGAAGGTGACGAGTGCCGGGCGGCGCCGTGGCGGCTCGTCGCTGGAGTTCGACATCTCCGTGCTCGCGTCGTTCCGCGCCCAGGGCCTCGCCGTGGAGCAGGCCGGGCGGGTGGCCACCGCACGGCTCCTGGTCGCCTGCTCTCGCTGCCCCAAGATCAAGACCGGTGGGCGGGGGGGGCGGGGTGGGCGGGGTGGCGGGGGGTGGGTGGGGGGGTGGGGGCTTTGGGGGGTGGAGACTTGGGGGGTGTAGGAGGGTGGGGGGTGGGGGGTGGGAGCTTGGAGGGTGGGGGGTGGGTGTGGGGGGTGTAGGAGGGTGGGGGGTTGGGGCTTGGGGGGTGGGGGTGGGGTTTGACGGGGCTGTGTGGGGCTTGGGGGGGGATGGGGAGATGGGGGGTGGGGTGGGGGGTCATATTCACCCAGCCCCCTCCCACCACCACAACACTCACATCACCCACACCTACAACACCCATACCTACTCCACCAACACATACACTACCCACATCACCCACATACCCACACCACCCACACCAATCACACAACAGGGAGCATCCCTTGACCGCACCCGGGCATCGATCAGCCTCCCATTGTATTTGTACCAGATGGAAATTCCTCCGGTACAGCCATCGAAGGCTTTACGAACTACGTGGTCAAAATAGATGTTAATTAATGTGGGAGCCAGAGAACACCCCTGTCACACCCCAAGGTGTACAGGGAATGGCTCTAACTCCCGGCCACGTAGTTTTACCCGGGCCCGCTCACCATCATGAAGGTCCTTCATGATTGTGAGCAGAGGGTCAGGGACTCCGAAAGTACGAAGAACAACCCAGAGCCCAGGCCTACTGATGGTATCATAGGCCTTCACCAGGTAAATAAAGCAGAGATGTAGGTCTTGTTGGAATTCCCTATACCTCTGCTGTAGCAGACGGACAGAAAATTAGGCATCTGTACAGGACCGCCCTTTCCTGAATCCGCATTGGGGCTCCGCAAGCCTCTCCTCCTCAGCGTGTCTAGCAAGGCGATGTTGAAAAATTCTTGCCAGGACCATTCCCGGCACACTGAGGAGTGAGATGTCCCTGTAGTTGTTACAGTCTGTGCGGTCTCAGACTCTGGATCGCCTTCAGTACTTCCTCAACAGATGGCACCTCAGCCAGCCACTCACAGGGGGTAACTTCACCTTCCAATATTTGAGGCACCGCAGCCTCAGCAGGGTCATCCCCACTTTGTCCCACGATGTTTTCCAGGCTGAGGGATTTCCTCTCCCCGGGACCTCACAGAAATGCTCAGCAAATCTGCAAACCTGTTCCTGGGGGTCGGAGATTGGATCACCGTTTTTTTCCCCTAATGATGGTAATAGGTGTGGCGCTGCAGGTTACTTTATTCATGAAATTAAAGAGCGATTTGTGATCGCGGGCCACTGAGACAGATTCCATCTCCTCAGCAACCCGCGACCACCACCCATCCTTGCAGCGCCTCACGGCTCTCTGAACCTCCGAGCGAAGGCTGCGGTAAGCCTCCTCATTCTCTGACGTGGGATTCTGTAGACCAGGGGTCCTCAACCCCTGAGCCGCGGGACCGGTATCGGTCCACGACCTGTTAGGAACCGGGCCGCACAGCAGGAGGTGAGAGCGGTGAGTCCGTGCTTGGCCCGCCAATTATTTTATTATTGACGACTTCCGTCCACGCCTCTTTCCCGCACTGGGCACTCGTCTCAGTCACGTGGTGTTGGTAAGCCCACGAGCTCTAACCCCTAGTAGCCACAATGAGTAAAAACAAGGGGGAAAGACCGTAATGATGAACCCCCCCCCCCCCCCGGTACCAAAAAGGTTGGGGCCGCTGCTGTAGACGATGAGAGTGGGGCTTGTCGCTTCTTCTCAACTAGCCTGAACACCTCCTCTATCAGCCAGGGTCTGATGGAGGAGGTGTTCATGAGCCACAATCGTAAACCTCGCCCATTTCCCCTCGACATCAGGAAGAATGGGGGACGATGCCAACCCCATCCGCAAGCGATGATAAAATTATCTTCTTTGGTTCTTTCGGTAAAGTCACCACGTAGAATGAGAATAAAATAATAAATTGATAAAATAAAATAACTCAATAATATTCTCACGACGTTTCGTGAGAATATTATTGTGTTATTTTATTTTATCAATTTATTATTTTATTCTCATTCTACGCGACTTTACCGAAAGAACCAAAGAAGATTAATCCTTGCAGTCACGAAAGCTTTAAATCGAGATAAAATTATCGTTTGCAACTTTCATCAGCTAGCTGAGACCAGGCCACTATGGGTTTGAATAGGGTCCTGGGTGTAGACAACTTACTACACCATCCACACCACCCCCAACAAAACACTCACGCCACCAACACCACCCACGCAACCCACCCCCACACAACCCACACCAACCACACCCACCGCACCGACACCCCCCACCAGCTCCCCACACACGCACGCCTGTTTCCACTGGCGCAACCGAGCCGTGCCGAGCCGGCCCAGCTCAAGAGGCACAGCTATATATTTTTAATCCACTGCAAGAGCTGAAACCGTGCCGCTGACGTCCTCAGTCGCAGCCTGCTTCTTCCTGTATCTCCCCTCGCGTCTCCCCCGTGTCTCCCCCGTGTCTCCCCTGTGTCTCCCCCGTGTCTCCCCCGTGTCTCCCCCATGTCTCCTCCATGTCTCCAACGCGTCTCCCCCGTGTCTCCCTCATGTCTCCCCGTGTCTCCCCCGTGTCTCCCCTGTGTCTCCCCCGTGTCTCCCCGTGTCTCCCCGTGTCTCCCCCGTGTCTCCCCGCGTCTCCCCCGTGTCTCCCCCGTGTCTCCCCGTGTCTCCTCCGCGTCTCCCCATGTCTCCCCGTGTCTCCCCCGTGTCTCCCCCATGTCTCCCCCGTGTCTCCCCCGTGTCTCCCCCATGTCTCCCCGTGTCTCCTCCGCGTCTCCCCGTGTCTCCCCCGTGTCTCCCCGTGTCTCCCCCATGTCTCCTCCGTGTCTCCTCCGCGTCTCCCCGTGTCTCCCCGTGTCTCCCCCGTGTCTCCCCCGTGTCTCCCCTTGTCTCCCCGCGTCTCCCCCGTGTCTCCCCCATGTCTCCCCCGTGTCTCCTCCGTGTCTCCCCCGTGTCTCCCAGCGTCTCCCCTGTGTCTCCCCCGTGTCTCCCCCATGTCTCCCCCATGTCTCCCCGTGTCTCCCCCGTGTCTCCCCGTGTCTCCTCCGTGTCTCCTCCGCGTCTCCCCGTGTCTCCCCATGTCTCCCCCGTGTCTCCCCCGTGTCTCCCCGTGTCTCCCCGCGTCTCCCCCGTGTCTCCCCCATGTCTCCCCCATGTCTCCTCCGTGTCTCCCCCGTGTCTCCCAGCGTCTCCCCTGTGTCTCCCCCGTGTCTCCCCCATGTCTCCCCCATGTCTCCCCGTGTCTCCCCCGTGTCTCCCCCATGTCTCCCCCATGTCTCCTCCGTGTCTCCCCCATGTCTCCCCCATGTCTCCCCCATGTCTCCTCCGTGTCTCCTCCGTGTCTCCCCCGTGTCTCCCAGCGTCTCCCCTGTGTCTCCCCCGTGTCTCCCCCATGTCTCCCCCATGTCTCCCCGTGTCTCCCCCGTGTCTCCCCCATGTCTCCCCCATGTCTCCCCCATGTCTCCCCGTGTCTCCCCCGTGTCTCCTCCGTGTCTCCCCGTGTCTCCCCCGTGTCTCCCCCATGTCTCCTCCGCGTCTCCCCGTGTCTCCCCGTGTCTCCCCCGTGTCTCCCCCGTGTCTCCTTTGTGTCTCCCCCGTGTCTCCCCCATGTCTCCCCCGTGTCTCCTTTGTGTCTCCCCCGTGTCTCCCCCGTGTCTTCCCCGTGTCTCCTTTGTGTCTCCCCCGTGTCTCCCCCATGTCTCCCGTATGTCTCCCCGTGTCTCCCCGTGTCTCCCCCATGTCTCCCCCATGTCTCCCCGTGTCTCCCCCGTGTCTCCCCCATGTCTCCCCCATGTCTCCCCGTGTCTCCCCCGTGTCTCCCCCATGTCTCCTCCGCGTCTCCTCCGTGTCTCCCCCGTGTCTCCCCATGTCTCCTCCGTGTCTCCCCCGTGTCTCCTCCGTGTCTCCCCGTGTCTCCCCCATGTCTCCCCCATGTCTCCTCCGTGTCTCCTCCGTGTCTCCCCGTGTCTCTTTTTTACTCTCCCATACCTATCCAATTATCCCCCGTATCTCCCCCCGTTTCTCCTCTTTGTCTCCCCCCCCCCACGCTCCCCCCCCCCCGTGTTGTTCACCCCCCCCCCCCCCCCCCCCCCCACGTGTCTCCAGGCCACAGCTACATCCTGATGGGCCACGTGGACGCCGAGGGTCGGGCCGTGGTGCTGCCCTCCAGCTTCGTGGTCAACTACAAACCGACCCTCCGCTCGGCGCTCAGCAACATCAAGAACCGCAACCCCTGCTGAGGGAGGGGGAGGGGGAGCGGGCGGGCGAGGAGGGGAGGGGCACGGGGGGAGGAAAGTTGAACGACGAGGAGGAGGAGTAGGGAGGGGGGGGAGTCGGGATGAGCAGCAGCGAGGGGGAGGAGCAGTAGCGAGGGGGAGGAGTCGGGATGAGCAGTAGCGAGGGGGAGGAGCAGTAGCGAGGGGGAGGAGTCGGGATGAGCAGTAGCGAGGGGGAGGAGCAGTAGCGAGGGGGAGGAGTCGGGATGAGCAGTAGCGAGGGGGAGGAGCAGTAGCGAGGGGGAGGAGTCGGGATGAGCAGTAGCGAGGGGGAGGAGTCGGGATGAGCAGTAGCGAGGGGGAGGAGTCGGGATGAGCAGTAGCGAGGGGGAGGAGCAGTAGCGAGGAACAGTAGCGAGGGGGAGGAGTCGGGATGAGCAGTAACGAGGGGGAGGAGTCGGGATGAGCAGTAGCGAGGGGGAGGAGTCGGGATGAGCAGTAGCGAGGGGGAGGAGCAGTAGCGAGGGGGAGGAGTCGGGATGAGCAGTAGCGAGGGGGAGGAGCAGTAGCGAGGGGGAGGAGTCGGGATGAGCAGTAGCGAGGGGGAGGAGCAGTAGCGAGGGGGAGGAGTCGGGATGAGCAGTAGCGAGGGGGAGGAGTCGGGATGAGCAGTAGCGAGGGGGAGGAGTCGGGATGAGCAGTAGCGAGGGGGAGGAGCAGTAGCGAGGAACAGTAGCGAGGGGGAGGAGTCGGGATGAGCAGTAGCGAGGGGGAGGAGCAGTAGCGAGGGGGAGGAGCAGTAACGAGGAGCAGTAACGAGGGGGAGGAGTCGGGATGAGCAGTAGTGAGGGGGAGGAGTCGGGATGAGCAGTAGCGAGGGGGAGGAGTCGGGATGAGCAGTAGCGAGGGGGAGGAGCAGTAGCGAGGAGCAGTAACGAGGGGGAGGAGTCGGGATGAGCAGTAGCGAGGGGGAGGAGTCGGGATGAGCAGTAGCGAGGGGGAGGAGCAGTAGCGAGGAGCAGTAGCGAGGAGCAGTAGCGAGGGGGAGGAGTCGGGATGAGCAGTAGCGAGGGGGAGGAGCAGTAGCGAGGAGCAGTAGAGAGGGGGAGGAGTCGGGATGAGCAGTAGCGAGGGGGAGGAGCAGTAGCGAGGGGGAGGAGTCGGGATGAGCAGTAGCGAGGGGGAGGAGTCGGGATGAGCAGTAGCGAGGGGGAGGAGTCGGGATGAGCAGTAGCGAGGGGGAGGAGCGAGGGGGAGGAGGGGCGTGGATGAGGAGGACGAGTTGCGAGGAGGAGAGGGAGGAGCAGGAGGAGGTGAAGGAGATGGGCGAGGCAGTGTCTATGAGATGTTAACTACCTCGTCTGCTATACAGGAGGTCGTGGGCTCGATCCCGACCCTGATGCGCCATGGATTTCTCTCCGCATCCTACAGTCTTTCCCTCCACGTTTAAGATTCAACATCACGCATTTAAAATATAGCTTGGCTGCTGCTGCACATTTCCACGGGATGACATCAGCCACTTGGTTGGGCTATGATTTGTGATATCCAGGTCGCTTCTTTATAAGAGCTACATCTCGTTTTAAAGCGTTCGTGACTGCAGGGATTCATAGTCTTGGTTCTTTCGGTAAAGTCACCACGTAGAAGGGGAATAAAAATAATAAAATTATAAAATGTTCTCGCTGTGGTTTTTAACACCTGATGACGATTGCTTGTATTGCAATCGAAACGTCGTGAGAACTGTATTGTTTTATTTTTAGTATTTCATTATTTCCCTCCTACGTGACATTACCGACAGAACCAAGAATGAGAGCTACATCGTAGAAAAGTGAGCCTTACCTGGTAAAATAAGAAGTAGCTCAAGAAAAAAACGTTTTCCCTCCTTCCCTCCGCTATCTCCTCTCTTCTCCCCTCTCCGCTCCCTGTCGGCTCTTCTCCAACCTCTCCCACCTCTCCCATCCCTTGGGGTCACGCTCACAACAGCATGCGCCGTCTCCTACTGCCGGAACACCCCTTTGACCGCGCTTTCACGCTGAAGTTAACCCCAAAAACTAAAACGAAAACTATGTTCATTGCACCAGGTGTAAGGAAGGCCCCCACTGGGCTGGGTATCTCTTTTCCAGAGGCGACCCTGGCTATCGCAAACGGCTGCTCAACGAAGTGGGCTCATTATCCCCATCATCGTTGTCGTGCGCAAATGTATCGCGGCAGCCATAACGCTGAAAAAAAAAACCGCGTAGAGACGTCGGTTCTAAATGTGGTGAAAAAGAAAAAACCCGGGAGGACACCGAGAAGAATCAACGCGACCACGGGGAGAGAGAGAGACACGCAAACTCCAAATATACAGCAGCAGCAGGCTTCAGGGTTGGGATGGAACCCACGACCTCCTGTACACCAGGCGAAGTAGTTAACATCTCCTAGTCACCGTGATGATGATGATGATGAGATAGAGAGAGACACGCAGACGCCAAATAGCCAGCAGGCTTCAGGGTTGGGATGGAACCCACGACCTCCTGCACACCAGGCGAGGTAGTTAACATCTCCTAGTCACCGTGATGATGATGAGATAGAGAGAGACACGCAGACACCAAATAGCCAGCAGGCTTCAGGGTTGGGATGGAGCCCACGACCTCCTGCACACCAGGCGAGGTAGTTAACATCTCCTAGTCACCGTGATGATGATGATGATGAGATAGAGAGAGACACGCAGACGCCAAATAGCCAGCAGGCTTCAGGGTTGGGATGGAACCCACGACCTCCTGTACACCAGGCGAAGTAGTTAACATCTCCTAGCCACCGTGATGATGATGAGATAGAGAGAGACACGCAGACGCCAAATAGCCAGCAGGCTTCAGGGTTGGGATGGAACCCACGACCTCTTGTATACCAGGCGAGGTAGGTAACATCTCCTAGTCACCGTGATGATGATGATGAGATAGAGAGAGACACGCAGACGCCAAATAGCCAGCAGGCTTCAGGGTTGGGATGGAACCCACGACCTCTTGTATACCAGGCGAGGTAGTCAACATCTCCTAGCCACCGTGATGATGATGAGATAGAGAGAGACACGCAGACGCCAAATAGCCAGCAGGCTTCAGGGTTGGGATGGAACCCACGACCTCCTGTACACCAGGCGAGGTAGTCAACATCTCCTAGCCACCGTGATGATGATGAGATAGAGAGAGACACGCAGACGCCAAATAGCCAGCAGGCTTCAGGGTTGGGATAGAACCCACGACCTCTTGTATACCAGGCGAGGTAGTCAACATCTCCTAGCTAACCCTGGCACCATTGTTGCGGAGTATCCGGCACAGGGACAGCTGAACAGGAGGTCGTGGGTTCGATCCAGACTGCTGCTGCTGTATATTTGTAGTTTGCGGTGTCTCTCTATCTCTCATCATCATCATCACGGTGGTTAGGAGATGTTAACTACCTCGCCTGGTGAACAGGAGGTCGTGGCTTCCTGACCCCGACGCCTGCTGTGTATTTGGAGTTTGCGGTGTCTCTCCCTCTCTCTCTATCTATCTCCCCGTGGTCGCGTGGATTTTTTTTATATCCGGGTCCTCCGCTGTCTTGCCTCAACGCTTCGAATCAACGTCCTCTACGCGTTCATGGTACGCGGCTGCTATGAATGTCCGCGCGGTGATGATTCGCCACTTTGTTGGGCTATCATCTGTGGCCAGCTCGCTTCTGAAAAAAAAATAAAGAGCCACGGGAGATCGGTGGGGCTTCACCTGGTAGAATAAGAAATGGCTCAAGAAAAACGTTTTCATTGTTTATAATGAAGTCAAGGCCGCACGACGACTTTCTCGACGATTCTTTGTTGTGGTTTATATTTTAACGAGCACACACACACAAGTAAGGCAACGTCAACGCATCGCCTCGCACAACGCGGGACTCGAACCCACGTCGGCTGCCCGGGCGAGGTTGTCGCTACCCGCTGGAATAAAAGAGGCACGGGAGTTAAACGCAGCGGGCGTGTCGATCTGTCTCTTTCCTCTCTCTCTCTGCCACCACTCGCGGTGCTGACATTACAACAACAACAACAACCACAACAACAACAACCACGACAGCAACAACAACGGGCGAACGACGCGGACAGAACGGGATACCCCCATCACGATCCTCAACACCACGTGAAACCCACCACGTGACACCCATTATGATCCTTAACGCCACGTGACATCCACCACAATCCTCAACATACACGTGACATCCACCACGTGACACCCATTCTGGTCCTCAACAGCACTTGACACCCAGCACGTGACTCCGACCACGTTACACCCGTTCTGATCCTCAACACCACGTGACGCCCACCACGTGATACCCATTATATTTCTCAACACCACGTGACACCCACCACGATCCTCATCACCCCCCTCCCCGGGTGAGAGTTTCCAATCGTCGCGTTCGAGAGATGGAGACGGGGCGCAGGGTTTTGTGTGAAAGCTACGATTTTAATTGGTATTTACTCTTCAATTTAAAGCTTTCGTGACTGCAGGGATTCATATTCTTGGTTCTTTCGGTAAAGTCATCACGTAGAAGAAGAAGAAGATGGTATTTACTCATCGCTCGTGGAGAGCCGGGTCAAGTGTAGAGTTAGTCGCCGCAGAATACAAGTTAGAGAGAAGAAAAATGTAAATCATCATCGAGGCCCAGATTTGGCTGCAGCTCCTGTCCCTGTATCCCCGTGTCTCTGTGTCTCCCAGCCCCCATGTCCCCGTGTCTTCTCCCCGTGTCCTGGTGTCTCCTTGCCGTGTCCCTGTGGTCTCCTGCCCGTGTCCCCGCGTCTCTTCCCTCCGTGTGTCCCCGTGTCTCCTGCCCGTGTCTCCGTGTCTCCTCCCCCCGTGTGTCCCCGTGTCTCCTTCCCGTGTCCCTGTGGTCTCCTGCCCGTGTCCCCGTGTCTCTTCCCCCCGTGTGTCCCCGTGTCTCTTCCCTCGTCCCTGTGGTCTCCTGCCCGTGTCCCCGTGTCTCTTCCCTCCGTGTGTCCCCGTGTCTCCTTCCCGTGTCCCTGTGGTCTCCTGCCCGTGTCCCCGTGTCTCCTCCCCCCGTGTGTCCCCGTGTCTCCTTCCTGTGCCCCTGTGTCTCCTGCCCGTGTCCCCGTGTCTCCTCCCCCCGTGTGTCCCCCGTGTGTCTCCTTCCCGTGTCCCTGTGGTCTCCTGCCCGTGTCCCCGTGTCTCCTCCCCCCGTGTGTCCCCGTGTCTTCTCCCCGTGTCCCCGTGTCTCCTTCCCGTGTCCCTGTGGTCTCCTGCCCGTGTCCCCGTGTCTCCTCCCCCCGTGTGTCTCCCGTGTGTATCCATCCCGTGTCCCCGTGTCTCTTCCCTCGTCCCTGTGGTCTCCTGCCCGTGTCCCCGTGTCTCCTCCCCCCGTGTGTCCCCCGTGTGTCTCTATCACACGCGCTTCAGGCCACGGCCCATGAGGCAGGCGAACACGGTCATCACCATCTTGGGCTTCACCTCCACCAGGTCCTCGGGCAGTGCGTAGACGCGCGCTCCGATCTTGCGAGCCATCGAGATCGCGTACCTGGGGGAGTAGCGGCCGAGGGAGAGGAGTCACAATCCATCATCGCCACCGTCACCGCCAACGTCACACACGGGGACAGCACTGGGACAAGACGGGGACACCGCCACGTGAAGAAGAGTGATACAAAGACAAAGACACTATACATCCCCATCATTACAATCAGCATCATCGCTCCCATCACAACCACTCATCACCACCACCATCACTGAAACCACAACTACTCATCACAACCACCATCACTGCAACCACAACCACTCATCACAACCACCATCACTGAAACCACAACTACTCATCACAACCACCATCACTCCCCACCACAACCACTCATCACCACCACCATCACTGCAACCACAATCACTCATCACCACCACCATCACTCCCATCACAACCACTCATCACCACCACCATCACTGAAACCACAACTACTCATCACAACCACCATCACTCCCACCACAATCACTCATCACAACCACCATCACTGCAACCACAACCACTCATCACCATCACCATTACTTCCATCACAACCACTCATCGCCACCACCATCACTGAAACCACAACCACTCATCACAACCACCATCACTGAAACCACAACCACTCATCACCACCACCATTACTGAAACCACAACCACTCATCACCACCACCATCACTCCCATCACAACCACTCATCACCACCACCATCACTCCCATCACAACCACTCATCACAACCACCATTACTGAAACCACAACCACTCATCACCACCACCATTACTGAAACCACAACCACTCATCACAACCACCATCACTCCCATCACAACCACTCATCACCACCACCATTAATGAAACCACAATCACTCATCACCACGACCATCACTCCCATCACAACCACTAATCACAACCACCATCACTGCAACCACAACCACTCATCACAACCACCATTACTGAAACCACAACCACTCATCACCGTCACTGAAACCACAACCACTCATTACCACCATCACTAAAACCACAACCACTCATCACCACGACCATCACTCCCATCACAACCACTTATCACCACTACCATTACTGAAACCACAACAACTCATCACCATCACTCCCACCACAACCACTCATCACCACCACCATTACTGAAACCACAACCACTTATGATCACCACCATCATCACTCCCACCACAACCACTCATCACTACCACCATCACTCCCATCACCACCATCACTAAAACCACAATCACTCATCACCACAACCATCACTCCCATCACAACCACTCATCACAACTGCCATCACTGAAACCACAGCCACTCATCACAACCACCATCACTGCAACCACAACCACTCATCACAATCACTCCCACCACAACCACTCATCACCATCACTGAAACCACAACCACTCATCACCACCACCATCACTAAAACAACAATCACTCATCACCACAACCATCACTCCTATCACAACCACTCATCACCACCACCATCACTGCAAACCACAACCACTTATGATCACCACCATCATCACTCCCATCACAACCACTCATCACCACCACCATCACTGCAAACCACAACCACTCATCACCATCACTCCCATCACAACCACTCATCACCACCATCATCACTCCCATCACAACCACTCATCATCACTCCCATCACATCCACTCATCATCACCACCATCACTACCACCACAACCACTCAACACCACCGCCATCACTACCACCACAACCACTCATCACCACGACCATCACAACCACTCATCATCACTCTCATCACATCCAATCATCATCACCACCATCACTACCACCAGAACTACTCATCACCACCACCATCACTACAACCACCACCATCGCCGCTCGTGTGAAATGAGGAGTGGTCACGTAGCCCTAGGGAGCTCGCAGCTGGATGAGGGTAGAGAGTCAAAAACACAGCCCATAGCACTCACCCCGCTCCCATCACAGGCTCTCATCCCATACTCCCATCCCATACTCCCATCCCATACTCCCATCACAGGCTCCCATCACAGGCTCCCATCCCATACTCCCATCACAGGCTCCCATCCCATACTCCCATCCCATGCTCCCATCCCATGCTCCCATCCCATACTCCCATCCCATACTCCCATCCCATACTCCCATCACAGGCTCCCATCCCATACTCCCATCCCATGCTCCCATCCCATACTCCCATCCCAAACTCCCATCCCATGCTCCCATCCCATACTCCCATCCCATGCTCCCATCCCATACTCCCATCCCATGCTCCCATCCCATGCTCCCATCCCATACTCCCATCCCATACTCCCATCCCATACTCCCATCCCATGCTCCTATCCCATGCTCCCATCCCATGCTCCCATCCCATGCTCCCATCCCATACTCCCATCCCATACTCCCATCCCATGCTCCCATCCCATGCTCCCATCCCATGCTCCCATCCCATGCTCCCATCCCATGCTCCCATCCCATGCTCCCATCCCATACTCCCATCCCATACTCCCATCCCATGCTCCTATCCCATGCTCCCATCCCATGCTCCCATCCCATGCTCCCATCCCATGCTCCCATCCCATGCTCCCATCCCATACTCCCATCCCATACTCCCATCACAGGCTCCCATCCCATACTCCCATCCCATGCTCCCATCCCATGCTCCCATCCCATGCTCCCATCCCATGCTCCCATCCCATACTCCCATCCCATACTCCTATCCCATGCTCCCATCCCATGCTCCTATCCCATGCTCCCATCCCATGCTCCCATCCCATGCTCCCATCCCATGCTCCCATCCCATACTCCCATCCCATACTCCCATCCCATACTCCCATCCCATGCTCCCATCCCATGCTCCCATCCCATGCTCCCATCCCATGCTCCCATCCCATGCTCCCATCCCATGCTCCCATCCCATGCTCCCATCCCATACTCCCATCCCATACTCCCTTGTTCTAGGATAACGAAGGGATGAAGGAGGAGGGTGAGGAGGAGGAGGAGTAGGGGGTGAGGAAGTGGTTTGGAAAGGAATCAGAAACGATTTGGCACGGAGACTCGGGTCAACTTCAGCTCACAGAGGAGAAAGTGAAAACTCAGCGCTTACACAGCCGCACAAAGACGGCACACGGGGGTGGTGGCTGGCTAGCATAACGCCCGACCGCCTTTGTCTCCCAAGTGCCGATGTTTACACAGCGCACAAGGTACGCATTTTAAGGCTGAGCAGACCTAGGGGAGGCCCAGGACCTGGTGTTGGTCGTGAGCGGGAACAGAACTCGGGGCGCCGTGCCTCGTTGCGCAGGGCGCTAATCGCTGCGCCACCGCTCCCCACACACACGGATACATCACCACCACATCATCGGCTCCCCGTATAGCCTTAACAGACTGTTGGGGCAAGTGCTGTTAGCGAGTAGCAGCACCTACGAAGGCCGACGCGGCACACGATGGGGTGGGTGGCCAGCAACCACGCCCGGCCGCCTTTGTCTCCCCAGTGGCGATGTTTACTACACGCCACCGATTCTAGATTTGATGCTTTCGTGACTGCAAGGATCCATAACTCTTTGGTTCTATTCGGTGACTTTACCGAATAGAACCAAAGAGTATACACACCACCGCTACACCAGGTACTAATTTAAGGCTGAGTCGACCTAGGGGAGGCCCAGGACCGGTTCAGAAAATCGTCACTGAGCGGTGTTGGTGGCCGTGAGCGGGAATCGAACTCGGGTGGTCCGGGGTTCGTAGCGCAGCGCTAACCGCAGCGCCACCGCTCCCCACATAACTTAACACACACACACAGACACGTACACACACACACACTCGCCCTAAACTCCACCTCCCACAGCCTCACTTATATAATTACACAGACGTGCACATACAATGACAAAAGTCCCCCCCCATCACCCCCTGTGTAGCCTCTAACCGACCGCCGGGAAAGTGTCGTTTGGCGACCAGCTAAAGATGACGGGCAGGGCAGTTGTGTTGGCCAGCACCACGCCCGGCCGCCTTTGTCTCCCCAGTGATGATGCTGTTTACAAGCGACACCGGACACGCTAGCGATTCAATGCGGAGCGATTCGGATAATCGATGTAAACCGCGCCGTGAGCGGGGATCGAACCCGGGTGCCGCTGGGTTCGCAGTGCGGCGAGCCAAACCGCTGCGCCACCGCTCCCCACGCGACCTCGCACAGAGGCTCACAACGGACGCGGAGACACGCGGAGACACGTGGAGAGACACGTGGAGACACGTGGAGAGACGCGTGGAGACACGTGGAGAGACGCGTGGAGACACGTGGAGAGACGCGTGGAGACACGTGGAGAGACACGTGGAGACACGTGGAGAGACGGGGAGACACGTGGAGACACGAGAGGACATACGGGGATATACGTGAAGAGTCACATGGAGACACGTGGAGACACATGGAGACACATGGAGACACGTGGAGACATGTAGAGACACGTGGAGGCACGTGGAGACACACGTGGAGACACGTGGAGACACGGGGAGACACGTGGAGACACGTGGAGACACGTGGAGACACGAGAGGACATACGGGGATATACGTGAAGAGTCACATGGAGACACGTGGAGACACGGGGGGAGATACAGGGAGACACGTGGAGACCTGTAGAGACACGTGGAGGCACATGGAGACACGGGGAGACACGTGGAGACACGGGGAGAAATACAGGGAGACACCTGGGGACGTGAAGAGAGAGGTGGAGACACGGAGGGACGCGAGAGGAAATACGTGGAGACGTGAAGAGACACGTGGAGAGACGTGGAGACACGGGGAGACACGTCGAGACACGGGGAGACACGTGGAGACACGGGGAGACACGGGGGGATTTACAGGGAGACACGTGGAGACGTGTAGAGACACGTGGAGGCACGTGGAGACACGGGAGGAGACACGGGAGGAGATACAGGGAGACATGGGAAGACAATTGAAGACAATGTGAGATACGGGGAGACATGGGCGGAGACACGGAGGCATGGGGAGACACGGCGGTAGATACTCGGAGACACGGGTAGAGACACAGAGACGCGGGTGGACACATAGGAGGACACACGTGTGGACACACACAGACACACGGGTGGACACACACAGACACAAGTGTGGACACACACAGACACACGGGTGGACACACACACACAGACACATACACAGACACATACACAGACACATACACAGACACAGACACACGGGTGGACACAAGACAAAGACAAAGATCCCCCATATAGCCTTAACAGACTGTAGGGGCAAGTGCTGTTAGCCGGAACGGTACACGAGGGGGTGGGTGGCCAGCACCACGCCCGACCGCCTTTGTCTCCCTAGTGGCAATGTTTACACACCGCACCAGGTACTCATTTGAGGCTGAGTCGACCTAGGGGAGGCCCGGGACCGGTTCAGATAATCGTCACTGGTGTTGGCCGTGAGCGGGAATCGAACCCGGGTCGCCAGGTTCATAGCGCAGCGTAGCGCTAACCGCCACACTATCGCTCCCCACCGGTGGACACACACACACACAGACACACACACACACAGACACACACACACACAGACACACACACAGACACACACACACACACGGGTGGACACACACGTGTGTACAACGCTGCCCCTACTTGGCGTTGCTCAAGTTCTGCTCCACTCCGTCACGCTCCCCGTCGGCGGGAACGAGGTCGTAGTTGACGGAGCCCGGCTGGATGGAGTCGATGAGGTCCAACACAACCATCGACGACGCGATGCTCTTGTCCTGGGGAGACAGACACGCTCAATCCACTGCTGGATGAGTTGTCTACGTTCTAAATGGGACTTCCATGGTGAACTAGACTTCCATGGTGAACTGGACTTCCATGGTGAACTGGACTTCCATGGTGAACTGGACTTCCATAGTGAACTGGACTTCCATGGTAAACTGGACTTCCATGGTGAACTGGTCTCCCATGGTAAACTGGACTCCCATGGTGAACTGGACTTCTATGGTGAACTGGACTTCCATAGTGAACTGGACTTCCATGGTGAACTGGACTTCCATGGTGAACTGGACTTCCATAGTGAACTGTCTTCCATGGTAAACTGGACTCCCATGGGGAACTGGACTTTCATGGTGAACTGGACCTCCATAATAAACTGGACTCCCATGGTGAACTGGACTTCCATGGTGAACTGGACTTCCATGGTGAACTGGACTTCCATGGTGAACTAGACTTCCATGGTGAACTGAACTTCCATGGTGAACTGGACTTCCATAGTGAACTGGACTTCCATGGTAAACTGGACTCCCATGGTGAACTGGTCTCCCATGGTAAACTGGACTCCCATGGTGAACTGGACTTCCTTGGTGAACTGGTCTTCCATGGTAAACTGTAATTCTATGGTGAACTAGACTTCCATGGTAAACTGGACTTCTATGGTGAACTGGACTCCCATGGTGAACTGGACTCCCATGGTAAACTGGACTTCCATGGTGAACTGGACTTCCATGGTAAACTGGACTCCCATGGTGAACTGGACTTCCATGGTAAACTGGACTCCCATGGTGAACTGGACTTCCATGGTGAACTAGACTTCAATGGTGAACTGGACTTCCATGGTGAACTGGACTTCAATGGTGAACTGGACTTCCATGGTGAACTAGACTTTCATGGTGAACTGGACTCCCATGGTGAACTGGACTTCCATGGTGAACTAGACTTCCATGGTGAACTGGACCTCCATAATAAACTGGACTCCCATGGTGAACTAGACTTCCATGGTGAACTGAACTTCCACGGTGAACTGGACTTCCATGGTGAACTGGACTTCCATGGTGAACTAGACTTCCATGGTGAACTGGACTTCCATGGTGAACTGGACTTCCATGGTGAACTGGACTTCCATGGTAAACTGGGAACTGGCAACCAAAATAATAAGACAGAGACCAAAAAAAATCTAATTCGATAGTTACAGAAAGAAAAAAGAACCCAACTCGATATTTAAAAGCTTCGCCTGTTTATTTATTCACCGTTCTCTATGCACATGTTTATACATCGCCTAAATGTTTTGACTGTCCGCCAAAACAAAATCAAAAGCCGCCAACCACGGCCCTCCCGAGTTGCTGGATGCAATCACCGTCCCACGTGGCCCTGTCTCTCAGTGTAATCACCATCGTCATGGTCACTCCACTGCTGGATGGAGATCAATGTGACGATGTCTCTACCCTACGTGTGATCTCTAGTCCACATGTCGCTCTCTCTGTCCCTGTGTCTCAGTGTAATCACCATCGTCATGGTCACTCCACTGCTGGATGGAGATCAATGTGACGATGTGTCTACCCTGCGTGTGATCTCTAGCCCACGTGTCGCTCTCTCTGTCCCTGTCTCTCAGTGTAATCACCATCACCAGGGTCTATCCACTGCTGGATGAGGATCATTGTGACAATGTCTCTACCCTGCGTGTGATCTCTAGCCCACGTGTCGCTCTCTCTCCCTGTCTCTCAGTGTACTCACCATCACCAGGGTCTATCCACTGCTGGATGAGGATCAATCCGCGTGGCTTGCGACAGACGATGACCACGACAGCGTCGTTGTGCTTTACATTTTGACTTAAAACTTTCGCGACTGCAGGAATTCACATTCTTTGGTTCTTTCGACAAAGTCACGTCGACAGAAAATGAAAGAAAAAATAATTTAAAAAATAAATAATACTAATGTACTTTTATTTAAAATTGACATTTTTGCTTTTTATAAATTAAACATTTTCCAAAATTTTTATTTTTATTTTCATTCTTTAATTTTTCTTATTTTTTTTTTTCTATCTACGTGACGTTGTTGCTGTTAGACGACGTTCGCTAGACGCGCGAAAGCTAAAAATGTGGAGAGTTAGTGGGGGGGGGGGGGGGTGTGGGGGTGTGTGGGGGAGTGTGGGGGTGGGTGGGAGTGTGGGAGTGGGTGGGTGAGTGAGTGGGGGAGTGAGTGGGAGAGTGAGTAGGGGAGTGGGTGAGTGAGTGGGGGAGTGAGTGGGAGAGTGAGTAGGGGAGTGGGTGAGTGAGTGGGGGAGTGAGTGGGAGAGTGAGTAGGGGAGTGGGAGAGTGAGTGAGTGGGGGAGTGAGTGGGAGAGTGAGTAGGGGAGTGGGTGAGTGAGTGGGGGAGTGAGTGGGAGAGTGAGTGAGTGAGTGGAGGAGTGAGTAGGGGAGTGGGAGAGTGAGTGAGTGGGGGAGTGAGTGGGAGAGTGAGTAGGGGAGTGGGAGAGTGAGTGAGTGGGGGAGTGAGTGGGAGAGTGAGTAGGGGAGTGGGTGAGTGAGTGGGGGAGTGAGTGGGAGAGTGAGTGAGTGAGTGGAGGAGTGAGTAGGGGAGTGGGAGAGTGAGTGAGTGGGGGAGTGAGTGGGAGAGTGAGTAGGGGAGTGGGAGAGTGAGTGAGTGGGTGAGTGAGTGGGAGAGTGAGTAGGGGAGTGGGTGAGTGAGTGGGGGAGTGAGTGGGGGAGTGGGAGAGTGAGTGAGTGGGGGAGTGAGTGGGAGAGTGAGTAGGGGAGTGGGAGAGTGAGTGAGTGGGGGAGTGGGAGAGTAAGTGAGTGAGTGAGTGGAGGAGTGAGTGGGGGAGTGAGTAGGGGAGTGAGTGAGTGAGTGGGAGAGTGAGTAGGGGAGTGGGAGAGTGAGTGAGTGAGTGGGGGAGTGAGTAGGGAAGTGGGTGAGTGAGTGAGTGGGGGAGTGAGTGGGAAGTTGGAGAGTGGGTGAGTGGGAGTGTGGGAGAGTGGGAGAGTGAGTGGGTGAGTGAGTGAGTGGGGGAGTGAGTGGGAGAGTGAGTGGGGGAGTGAGTGGGAGAGTGGGGGAGTGAGTAGGGGAGTGGGTGAGTGAGTGAGTGAGTGGGGGAGTGAGTGGGAGCGTGGGTGAGTATGAGAGTGGGTGGGTGTAAGAGTGGAAGAATGGGTGAGAGGCTGAGTATTTCCCATGCTCCTCGTGTGTCCCCCCCCCCCCGCCCCCCCGTGTCCCACCTTGAAGCTAGAGATGGAGGAGGACTTCCCGGCCGAAGCGAGCGTCTTGTTGACCCAAGCGATGATGATTTCGTCATTCACCTTCTCGCCATCGCCCAGCTCCTCTAGCACGTTGATGGTGTACCTGGGGAGACGGTGAGCACGGCGGTGATGGCGGTGTTGAAGATGACGGTGGTGGTGGTGGTGGAGGTAGCGATGATGATGATGGTGGTGGTGGTGGTGGTGAATGATGATGATGATGGTGGTGGTGGTGATGGTGGAGTTGATGATGGTGATGGGGGCAGTAGTAGTGGTGATGATGATGATGGTGGTGATGGTGGTGGAGTTGAAGATGATGATGGTGATGATGATGGTGATGATGATGGTGGGGGTGATGGTGGAGTTGAAGATTGATGATGGTGGTGGTAGTAGTAGTGGTCCTGGTGATGATGATGGTGGTGCTGATGATGATGGTGGTGATGGTGGAGGTAGCGATGATGATGATGGTGGTGGTAGTCGTGGTTGTGGTGGTGGTGATGATGGTAGTGATGGTGGAGTTGATAATGGTGGTGGTGGTGAATGATGATGATGGTGGTGGTGGTGGTGGTGATGTTAGAGTTGATGAAGATGATGATAATGGTGGTAGTAGTAGTGGTGATGATGATGATGGTGGTGATGATGGTGGGGGTGATGGTGGAATTGAAGATTGATGATGGTGGTGGTAGTAATAGTGGTCCTGGTGATGGTGATGGTGGTGCTGATGATGATGATGGTGGTGATGGTGGAGATGATGATGGTGGTGACGGTGATGATGGTAGTTGGATGGTGGAGTTGAAGATGATGGTGGTAGTGGTCGTGATGATGATGATGATGACCATCCCCTCACTCACCTGCCCCAGACCCCCACCCACCTGTCCCAGACCCCCACCCACCTGTCCCAGACCCCCACCCACCTGCCCCAGACCCCCACCCACCTGTCCCAGACCCCCACCCACCTGTCCCAGACCCCCACCCACCTGCCCCAGACCCCCACCCACCTGCCCCAGACCCCCACCCACCTGACCCAGACCCCCACCCACCTGCCCCAGACCCCCACTCACCTGTCCCAGACCCCCACCCACCTGCCCCAGACCCCCACCCACCTGCCCCAGACCCCCACCCACCTGCCCCAGACCCCCACCCACCTGCCCCAGACCCCCACCCACCTGCCCCAGACCCCCACCCACCTGCCCCAGACCCCCACCCACCTGCCCCAGACCCCCACCCACCTGCCCCAGACCCCCACCCACCTGCCCCAGACCCCCACCCACCTGCCCCAGACCCCCACCCACCTGCCCCAGACCCCCACCCACCTGCCCCAGACCCCCACCCACCTGCCCCAGACCCCCACCCACCTGTCCCAGACCCCCACCCACCTGCCCCAGACCCCCACCCACCTGCCCCAGACCCCCACCCACCTGCCCCAGACCCCCACCCACCTGCCCCAGACCCCCACCCACCTGCCCCAGACCCCCACCCACCTGCCCCAGACCCCCACCCACCTGCCCCATACCCCCACCCACCTGCCCCAGACCCCCACCCACCTGCCCCAGACCCCCACCCACCTGCCCCAGACCCCCACCCACCTGCCCCAGACCCCCACCCACCTGTCCCAGACCCCCACCCACCTGCCCCAGACCCCCACCCACCTGCCCCAGACCCCCACCCACCTGCCCCAGACCCCCACCCACCTGCCCCAGACCCCCACCCACCTGCCCCAGACCCCCACCCACCTGCCCCAGACCCCCACCCACCTGCCCCAGACCCCCACCCACCTGCCCCAGACCCCCACCCACCTGCCCCAGACCCCCACCCACCTGCCCCAGACCCCCACCCACCTGCCCCAGACCCCCACCCACCTGTCCCAGACCCCCACCCACCTGTCCCAGACCCTCACCCACCTGCCCCAGACCCCCACCCACCTGTCCCAGACCCCCACCCACCTGTCCCAGACCCCCACCCACCTGTCCCAGACCCCCACCCACCTGCCCCAGACCCCCACCCACCTGCCCCAGACCCCCACCCACCTGTCCCAGACCCCCACCCACCTGCCCCAGACCCCCACCCACCTGCCCCAGACCCCCACCCACCTGCCCCAGACCCCCACCCACCTGCCCCAGACCCCCACCCACCTGCCCCAGACCCCCACCCACCTGCGCATGAGCTGCCACACCAGCGCCAGCGTGAGCATCGGCTTCCCTTCGTTGAGGTCCGTGCCAGCGATGCCCACGAGCGAGAACTTGCTCGCCTTGCCCAGCTCCACTGCGTAGTTGCAGTTCTCCAGCTGGATAGAGACACACACACACACACAGACAAAGACAAAGGTCCCCCGTGTAGCCTTCAGCAAGTTCCGTTTGCAGCAGCGGTAACTCTAGCATCGTCATTATCAGCAGCAGCAGATTCATCATCACATCATCAGCATCACCAGCACTTGGCCCGACAGTCATATTGAGGCTACACGGGGGACCTTTGTCTTTTGCGTGAGTAGCCAGTGCAATGTAAAAAAAAAAAACATCGCCACTGGGGGAGACAAAGGCGGTCGGGCGTGGCGGTGTTGGCCACCCACCCACTCGCGTGAATTTCCACCCCTGATGTGGTGCTCTAGCTCGCTAGCAGCACTTGCCCCGCCAGTCCTATAGAGGCTACACGGGGGACCTTTGTATCCGTTGCTGTTGTTAATTGATGCCAGGTCGCTTTTTAGCTCCGAGAGGGAACCGACTTAAGGACCACGCCGCCGTTCGAGGCTCCAGCTAGATCGGTGCCAGAGAGACGGGCATCGTCCATCAGTTGGGAGCCGCCATCATCATCATCAGGCTGGGTGGGTGAGATATCCCACCAGCTGGAAGGCGCATGAGTTCAACTCGGGGTGGCGGGGTGAGCGGGTTCAGAAGAGGGTTTTGGCTCTGCTTGTTCTCGTCATCGGCAGAATGAGCGTCGTTATCAGCAGCAGCATCAGCAGCAGTAATAACATCATAATCAGCAGCAGCAGCAAAAATAGCAGCAGCATCAACAGTCATCAGCATCAGCAGCAGCATCACCATCAGTATACATATCATCAGCAGCAGCAGTATAAATATCACTAGCAGCAGCATCACCATCAGTATACATATCATCATCACCATCAGTATATATATCATCATCACCATCAGTATACATATCATCAGCAGCAGCAGTATAAATATCATCATCAGCAGCATCAGCAGCAGTATAAATATCATCATCAGCAGCATCAACATAATCAGCAGCATCCCCGGCACTACCGTCATTGTCATCATCATCATCATCGTAATCATCATCGTTATTTTGATCGTGATGAACAGCATCATCAGCAGTAGACAGTCGACGTCATCAGTATGATCAGCACCAACAGAACCGAGATCTATCTTCACCATCATCATCATCCAATTTACCATCATCAGCAGCAGCTGCAGTGACATCAGCATCATCATCAGCAGCTGCTGCTGCTGATGATGATGATGCTGGTTAGTGCGGTGTTGAGACGCACCATGGGATAGATCCCCAGGTCTCGCTCCCACACTCACAAAGACAAAAACCCCCTGTATAGCCTCTAGGGGCAAGTGCTGTTAGCGAGCGGCACTTATAAAGGCCGGCACGGCACAGGAGGGGGTGGGTGGCCAGCACCACGCCCGGCCGCCTTTGTCTCCCCAGTGGCTATGTTTACTACACCACGCACCAGGTACTCATTTGAGGCTGAGTCGACCACGCACAACGCACACTCACACGCACGCATACACGCAGTGTCACACACACACACACTTCGACGTGTACACACAGACACAGTGTCTCACACACACACATACTTCGACGTGTACACACACGTGTCTCACACACACACTTACACGTGTACACACACACGTGTACACACACAAACACGTGTACACACACGTGCACACACACACGTGTACACACACACGTGCCTCACACACACACACGTGTACACACACACGTGTACACACACACACACGTGCCTCACACACACACTTATACATGTACACACACACGTGTCTCACACACACACACTTACACATGTACACACACACGTGTACACACTTATACGTGTATACACACACGTGTCTCACACACACACACTTACACATGTACACACACACACACGTGTACACACTTATACGTGTATACACACACGTGTCTCACACACACACACACACGTGTCTCACACACACTTACACGTGTACACACACACACGTGTACACACACACACACGTGTACACACACACGTGTCTCACACACACAAACACGTGTACACACACGTGTACACACACACGTGTACACACACACACGTGCCTCACACACACACACGTGTACACACACACGTGTACACACACACACGTGCCTCACACACACACTTATACATGTACACACACACGTGTCTCACACACACACACTTACACATGTACACACACACGTGTACACACTTATACGTGTATACACACACGTGTCTCACACACACACGTGTCTCACACACACACACTTACACGTATACACAGCACACACGTACTTACACGTGTACACACACGTGTCTCACACACCTACTTACACGTGTCTCACACACACACGTGTACACACTTACACGTGTCTCACACACACACTTACACGTGTACACACTTACACGTGTCTCACACACGTACTTTCACGTGCACACACACACTTACACGTGTCAACACACACACGTGTCAACACGCACACACGTGTCAACACACACACACACGTGTCAACACACGCACACGTATCAACACACACACGTATCAACACACACACACGTATCAACACACACACACACACACGTGTCAACACACGCACACGTATCAACACACACACGTGTCAACACACACACACACGTGTCAACACACACACACACGTGTCAACACACACACACACACGTGTCAACACACACACACGTATCAACACACACACACGTGTCAACACACACACGTGTCAACACACACACACACACGTGTCAACATACACACACACGTATCAACACACACACACACGTGTCAACACACACACACACGTGTCAACACACACACACACACACACGTGTCAACACACACACACGTGTCAACACACACACGTGTCAACACACACACACACACACGTGTCAACATACACACACACGTATCAACACACACACACACGTGTCCACACACACACACGTGTCAACACATACACACACACACGTGTCAACACACACACACACGTGTCAACACACACACACACGTGTCAACACACACACACACACACACGTGTCAACACGTGTGTGTGTGTGTGTACACATGTGTGTGTGTACACGTGTGTGTGTACACATCGATGTATGAGTGTGTGTGTGTGTTGACACGTGTGTGTGTGTACACGTGTGTGTGTGTTGACACGTGTGTGTGTACACGTGTGTGTGTGTACACGTGTGTGTGTGTTGACACGTGTGCGTGTGTGTACACGTGTGTGTGTGTTGACACGTGTGCGTGTGTGTACACGTGTGTGTGTGTGTTGACACACGTGTGTGTACACGTGTGTGTGTGTGTTGACACGTGTGTGTGTACACGTGTGTGTGTGTACACGTGTGTGTTGACACGTGTGTGTGTGTTGACACGTGTGTGTGTGTACACGTGTGTGTGTGTGTGTTGACACGTGTGTGTACACGTGTGTGTGTGTTGACACGTGTGTGTGTGTGTACACGTGTGTGTGTACACGTGTGTGTTGACACGTGTGTGTGTGTGTACACGTGTGTGTTGACACGTGTGTGTGTGTGTACACGTGTGTGTGTGTACACGTGTGTGTTGACACGTGTGTGTGTGTGTGTACACGTGTGTGTGTGTGTACACGTGTGTGTTGACACGTGTGTGTGTGTACACGTGTGTGTGTGTTGACACGTGTGTGTTGACACGTGTGTGTGTGTGTGTGTACACGTGTGTGTGTGTGTGTGTGTTGACACGTGTGTGTGTGTACACGTGTGTGTGTGTGTTGACACGTGTGTGTGTACACGTGTGTGTTGACACGTGTAAGTGCGTGTGTTGACACGTGTGTGTGTGTACACGTGTATGTGTGTGTGTTGACACGTGTGTGTGCGTGTGTTGACACGTGTGTGTGTACACGTGTGTGTGTGTGTACACGTGTGTGTGTGTGTACACGTGTGTGTGTGTGTGTACACGTGTGTGTGTGTACACGTGTGTGTGTGTGTGTACACGTGTCAGGATGTGGTGAGAGAGTTCAGGAGCAGGAAGGTGGGTGGAGGGGCGGGGTTGGGGGGGTGGGTGGAGGGGCGGGGTTGGGGGGGGTGGAGGGGCGGGGTTGGGGGGGTGGGTGTAGGGGCGGGTTTGGGGGGGTTGCCCACCTTCTTCATGTTGGCCCCCAGGCGTGGGTAGGGTGGTTTGTTCACCCGCTCCCACTCCACGGGCGTGCGAATCTTCTCCAACAGCTGGATGATGACGAGGGCATCCCGCAGGTCGCTGCGCTCGGGGAAACACGCGCCAGAAACTCAACCAATCAGTCAACCACTCACTCAACCACTCAACCACTCAGTCAACCACTCAGTCAACCACTCACTCACTTACTCAACCACTCAACCACTCACTCAACCACTCACTCACTCAACAACTCACTCACTCACTCAACCACTCAGTCAACCACTCAACCACTCACTCAACCACTCACTCACTCACTCAACCACTCAGTCAACCACTCAGTCAACCACTCAGTCAACCACTTAGTCAACCACTCAACCACTCAGTCAACCACTCACTCAACCACTCAACCACTCACTCACTCACTCAACCACTCACTCACTCAACCACTCAACCACTCACTCAACCACTCACTCACTCACTCAACCACTCAGTCAACCACTCAGTCAACCACTCAGTCAACCACTCAGTCAACCACTCACTCACTCAACCACTCACTCAACCACCACACAACCACTCACTCAACCACTCACTCACTCAACCACTCAACCACTCACTCACTCACTCAACCACTCAGTCAACCACTTAGTCAACCACTCAACCACTCAAGTCAACCACTCAACCACTCACTCACTCACTCAACCACTCAGTCAACCACTCACTCACTCACTCAACCACTCAGTCAACCACTTAGTCAACCAATCAACCACTCAACCACTCACTCACTCAACCACTAAGTCAACCACTCACTCACTCAACCACTCAACCACTCACTCACTCAACCACTCAACCACTCACTCACTCACTCAACCACTCACTCACTCAACCACTCAACCACTCACTCAACCACTCAACCACTCACTCAGCCACTCACTCAACCACTCACTCAACCACTCACTCACTCAACCACTCACTCACTCAACCACTCAACGACTCACTCAACCACTCAACCACTCACTCAACCACTCACTCAACCACTCACTCACTCAATCACTCAATCACTCAACCACTCACTCACTTAAACACTCACTCACTCAATCAAACACTCACTCACTCAATCACTCACTCACTCAACCATTCACTCACTCAACCATTCACTCACTCACTCAATCACTCACTCACTCAACCACTCACTCACTCAATCACTCACTCACTCAACCACTCACTCACTCAACCACTCACTCACTCAACCACTCACTCACTCAATCACTCACTCAAACACTCACTCACTCACTCAACCACTCACTCACTCAACCACTCACTCAACCACTCACTCACTCAAACACTCAATCACTCACTCGCTCAATAACTCACCCACTCGCTCAATAAATCACCCACTCAATCACTCACTCACTCAATCACTCACTCACTCGCTCAATCACTCAACCACTCACTCACTCAATCACTCAATCACTCACTCGAATCACTCACTAACTTACTCAATCACTCACTAACTTACTCAATCACTCACTCAAGCACTCACTCAAGCACTCACTAAGTCACGCACTCACTGATTCAATCATTAACTCACTCAATCATCCACTCACTAACTCACTCAATCAATCACTTGCTAAGTCACTCACTCACTAACTCAATCATTCACTAACTCAATCAATGACTCAATCACTCACTCACTCAATCACTCAACCACTCACTCAATCACTCACTAACTCACTCAATCACTCACTCAATCACTCACTCACTAAGTCACTCACTCACTGACTCAATCACTAACTCACTCAATCACCCACTCACTAACTCACTCACTCAATCAATCACTCACTAAGTCACTCACTCACTAACTCAATCATTCACTAACTCAATCAATGACTCAATCACTCACTCAATCACTCACACAATCACTCAACCACTCACTCAATCACTCACTAACTCACTCACTCAATCACTCACTCAAGCACTTACTCAATCATTAACTCAATCACTCACTCACTAAGTCACTCACTCACTGACTCAATCACTAACTCACTCAATCACCCACTCACTAACTCACTCACTCAATCACTCACGAAGTCACTCACTCACTAACTCAATCATTCACTAACTCAATCAATGACTCAATCACTCACTCAATCACTCACACAATCGCTCACTCAGGCTTACTCAATCATTCACTCACTCAATCACTCGCTCGCTCACGTACTTACTCGCTAACTTGCTCACTCAATCGCTCACTCACTCACTCCATCGCTCACTCACTCACTCCATCGCTCACTTACTCACTCACTCCATCGCTCATTTACTCACTCGTTCACTCACTCACTCCATCGCTCACTGACTCACTCGCTCACTCCATCGATCACTCACTCGCTCACTCACTCACTCCATCGCTCACTCACTCCATCGCTCACTCACTCACTCACTCCATCGCTCACTCACTCACTCACTCGCTCACTCACTCACTCGCTCACTCGCTCACTCACTCCATCGCTCACTCACGCACTCACTCGCTCACTCACTCGCTCGCTCCCTCACAAGGTTCACGGTGGCCGGTACCGCTGATAACCTGGGTTCTAGTCCTGGGTCTGGGTCTCTCTCTCTCTACTCTCATGGGGGTCACATGCGTTCGAGCCCTGGGGTCTGGGTGTCTCTCTGCTCGTACCCTGAGTCTCTCTCGCCCTCTGCTGGCTGAACTCAGAATCAGCAGCATCATCACCATCAACAGCATATTGAGCATCATCACCATCGTCATTACGACCACCTCTATCATCACAAGCAGTACAATCATCATCACCAACCACTATCATCATCAGCAGCAGCAGCACGATCATCAGCACTACTATGATCATCAGCAGTACAATCATCAACACCACCCCACTCATCATCCACGTGGTCTTGCAGAATGGGTATAACCCCTTAGCGAATGAGGATCAGCAGGTTTTGTTCCACTATGGAGAGACCGATGGACTGATCCCTGTCATGGGAACGTGGAATGTCCAGGCAGGAGATCCTCCTCACCTGTACAGGTGGTTCACGTAGGGATTCACTCCCTGCGAGTTCATCCAGTTTCGGAACGTCCGCTCTTCCCTCGTCTCACCTGCAAATATCATCATCATCATCAGCAACATCATCAGCAGCAGTGGCATCATCATCAGCAGCAGCATCAGCAGCGTTGCCAGACTCGGCAGTAGCATCAACAACAATGGCAGCGTTATTATCGTCAGCATCATCATCAGCTGCAGTATCATCATAATCATCATCAGCTGCAGTATCATCATCATCAGCTACAGCATCATCATCAGCTGCAGCATCATCATCAGCTGCAGTATCATCATCAGCTGCAGCATCATCATCAGCTGCAGTATCATCATCATCAGCTACAGCATCATCATCAGCTGCAGCATCATCATCAGCAGCAGTATCATCATCATCAGCTGCAGTATCATCATCATCAGCTCCAGTATCATCATCAGCTGCAGCATCATCATCATCAGCTGCAGTATCATCATCATCAGCTGCAGTATCATCATCATCATCAGCTGCAGCATCATCATCAGCTGCAGTATCATCATCATCAGCTGCAGTATCATCATCATCAGCTGCAGTATCATCATCAGCAGCAGCAGCTGCAGTATCATCATCATCAGCTGCAGTATCATCATTATCAGCTGCATCATCATCAGCAGCTGCATCATCATCATCAGCTGCAGTATCATCATCATCAGCTGCAGTATCATCATCATCAGCTGCAGTATCATCATCATCAGCTGCAGTATCATCATCATCAGCTGCATCATCATCATCATCAGCTGCATCATCAGCTGCAGTATCATCATCATCAGCTGCAGTATCATCATCATCAGCTGCAGTATCATCATCAGCTGCATCATCATCAGCTGCAATATCATCATCAGCTGCAGCATCATCATCAGCAGCAGCAGCGTTGCCAGACTCGGCAGTAGCATCAACAACAATGACAGCGTTATTATCGTCAGCATCATAAGCAGCTGCAGTATCATCATCATCAGCTGCATCATCATCAGCTGCAGAATCATCATCATCAGCTGCATCATCATCAGCTGCAGTATCATCATCAGCAGCATCAGCTGCAGTATCATCATCATCAGCTGCAGTATCATCATCATCAGCTGCAGCAGCAGCATCAGCAGCTGCAGTATCATCAGCTGCAGTATCATCATCAGCAGCAGCAGCAGCATCATCATCAGCTGCAGTATCATCATTAGCTGCAGTATCAGCAGCAGCAGCTGCAGGAGCATCATCATCATCATCATCAGCTGCAGTATCATCATCATCAGCAGCAGCAGCTGCAGTATCATCATCAGTTGCAGTATCATCATCATCATCAGCTGCAGCATCATCATCATCATCTGTAGCATCATCATCATCATCAGCTGCAGCATCATCATCAGCTGCAGTATCATCATCAGCTGCAGTATCATCATCATCATCAGCTGCAGCATCATCATCATCAGCTGCTGCAGCGTCATCATCATCAGCTGCAGCATCATCATCATCCAGCTGCTGCAGCATCATCATCATCAGCTGCAGTATCATCATCATCAGCTGCAGCATCATCATCATCATCTGTAGCATCATCATCATCAGCTGCAGCATCATCATCAGCTGCAGTATCATCATCATCAGCTGCAGCATCATAATCATCAGCTGCAGCATCATCATCATCAGCTGCAGCATCATCATCATCAGCTGCAGTATCATCATCATCAGCTGCAGTATCAGCAGAATTGAGAAGACCTTTGGCCAAGTTATACAAAGACAAAGACCCCCCGTGTAGCCTTGACAGATCGTTAGGTCAAGTGCTGTTAGCGAGTGGCACCGATGAAGCCTCACTGAGGGGGCGTGGCCTCGTGGAGGGGCGTGGCCTCACTGAGGGGGGCGTGTTAGACACGTCCCCTTCAGTGAGGCAGATGTGGTAGCTGCCTCCCCTGGTGCTTTTTCATTGCAGTTTCATGACGAGACCAGCGAGCCTAAATATCTTTATACACAATACGTGAAATGTTACCTGGAGTATGGAAGGCGAGGATATGAAATGAAGGGGTCTACAAACATTACATTGGTGACATACTGAGATAGTAACAGGCACGAGCTTATTGCCCGCGCTCCATCCAGTTACTGAGGGGTTGCGCAATCAGAGGGGAGGCTGAGCTCGTCGCTGCCTCACCTGCGCAAATTTGGCGATTTTGACTATGATTGGAATCGTACAGAAATAACATTTATAACAGATCAGTGGAAACATTTTAATATTTATTTTATTTGATTTGATTTTCGTAACAGCTATTTTCATTGCCTCCCCTGAACGCACGGCCCTGCTATGAAGGCTAGCACGGCACGTGAGGGGGAGGGTGGCCAACACTACACGCACGAATTCTGACACGCACGCTGACACACACACACACACGTGCACGCTGACACACACACACGTGCACGCTGACACACACACACACGTGCACGCTGACACACACGCACGCTGACACACATACACACACTGACACACACACACACGCTGACACACACACACGCTGACACACACACACTGACACACACACACACTGACACACACACAGGCTGACACACACTGACACACACACACACACTGACAAACACACACACTGACACACACACACACACTGACACACACACACACAGGCTGACACACACTGACACACACTGACACCACAACAAGCGCCATTCGCCACTAAGTGGCGGTGACGTCACCCCGACGCTTGTGCCAGGCTATGTGCACCCTGAGGCCACGTGAAGTGTCGAACGCCCGCTGGCAGGAGGTCATGGGGCAGACCCAGGTGCCACGGGTCGACTGACTGAGATGACTGGCTGATGCACCACCTGTGCCCCCTACTGTGCCAACCTGCTGTGGTTTAGCCACCCGGCGCTCCGCTCGTTGTTCTGAGCGTTGCTCCTCCACCCTCCGATGTGTTGTTGGAGGGCGACTACCTCCAACTGCCCAGTAGCATCCTTCACGAGCCTCCTCCACAGAGGCCGATCTTGACACCGCTGGTACCAATCATCGGCAAGTCCACTCAGCTCCACGTCCTCCTGTACCACATCACTCCATCTCTTCTCTAGCCCGTGCCGCGCCCGCTTAGCCCCCTCGATCCAGCCGAACAAAAGCTGTTTCGGCATGCGGTGGCTGGGCATGCGGGCTACATGACCCAGCCATCGCAGCCTTCCCCGCCGGAGGAGCTCACCGATGGGACCTTGCCCAGATCTTTCAAGGATTTGTGAACTCCTCACACAATCCAGTCTGGTAAAACCCAGGATGGATCGTAGGCAGGCCAGCCTAAATGTTTCTAACCGGCGAAGATGTTCCATTAGGGGGGTCCACGTTTCGCAAGCGTAGAGAAGGGAGGGAATGACCGAGGCCGAGAAGACCTGAAGCTTAGTGCGGAGCGACAGACCAGGTAGCTTCCACACAGCGTTACACAACCGATGAAAAGATATTGCCGCTCGACTGATTCGGAGTGAGACCTCTGCTGTTAAACTGGAGCCAGTCATAAGCACACTGCCCAGGTATGGGAAACTCTCCACTCTCTCCACAACTGCCCCATCACCGATTGGGAGTTGTGAGGGTGGAGTGTCCGATGGTACAAAATACCCAGGCAGGTGCTTAGTTTTGGTGGGGCTGATGGTAAGGCCCCACCTCTAAGTGGCACGCTCCAGTCTCAGCAGCAGCGTCTCCAACTCCTCCTCTGAATGAGCAGCTATTACCAAATCATCAGCATACATAACGCGGTTGAGCAATAGGGAGCCATCCCTTGATCGCACCCGGGCGTCGATCAGCCTCCCATTATATCTGTACCAAATGGAGATTCCTCCGGTACAGCTATTGAAGGCTTCACGAACTACGTGGTCAAAATAGATGTTAAATAATGTGGGAGCCAGAGGACATCCCTGTCGCACCCCAAGGTGTACAGGGAATGGCTCTGACTCCCGGCCACGTAGTTTTACCCGGGCCCGCTCACCATCATGAAGGTCCTTAATGATCGTGAGCAGAGGGTCAGGTACTCCAAAAGCACGAAGAACAACCCAGAGCCCAGGCCTACTGATGGTATCATAGGCCTTCACCAGATAAATAAAGCAGAGATGTAGGTCTTGTTGGAATTCCCTACACCTCTGCTGTAGCAAACGAAGAGAAAATATGGCATCTGTGCAGGACCGCCCTTTCCTGAAACCGCATTGGGGCTCCGCTAGCCTCTCCTCAGCGTGCCTGGCAAGGCGATGTTGAATAATCCTTGCCAGGACCTTTCCCGGCACACTGAGGAGTGAGATGCCCCTGTAGTTGTTACAGTGTGTGCGGTACCCCTTCTTAAAAAGGGGGACCACCAGGGCATCCTTCCAATCCTGTGGAACCCGTCCAATGGTCCAGACTGTTGTTATGATGTCATATAGGGCAGTCTGTGCACAAACGCCGCCCTCCCTCAGCATTTCGCTTGGGAGATCATCTCTGCCCACTGCCTTTCCTGGTCTCAGACTCCGGATCGCCTTCAGTTCTTCCTCAACAGATGGCACCTCAGCCAGCCACTCACAGGGGGTGACTTCTTCCAATATTTGAGGCACCGCAGCCTAAGCAGGGTCATCCTCACTTTGTGCCACGATGTTTTCCTGGCTGAGGAATTTTCCCTCCCCCAGGACCTCACAGAAATGCTCAGCAAATCTGCAAACCTGTTCCTGGGGGTCGGAGATTGGGTCACCGTTTTTCCCCTAATGATGGTAATAGGTGTGGCGCTGCAGATTACTTTTTTGATGGAGTTAAATAGAGATTTGTGATCACGGGCCACTGAGGCAGACTCCATCTCCTCAGCAACCCACGACCACCACCCATCCTTGCAGCACCTCACGGCTCTCCGAACCTCCGAGCGAAGGCTGCGGTAAGCCTCCTCATTCTCTGACGTGGGATTCTGTAGCCGATGACAGTGGGCCTGTCGCTTTTTCTCAACCATCCTGAACACCTCCTCTGTCAGCCAGGGTCTCTGGGGAGGTCTAGACCGCGTACCCAAAGTAGCCATTGCAGCTGCATGAGTCACAGTCCTAAACCTCGCCCATTTACCCTCGACATCAGGAGGAGTCGGGGACGATGCCAATCCCAGCCGCAAGCGATGATGAAATTCTCGCTTGCAACTTTCATCAGATAACTGAGACCAGGCCACTTTACACACTGACACACACACACATACACACACACTGACACACACACACACACACTGACACACACACTGACACACACACATACACTGACACACACACATACACACCCACTGACACACACACACTGACACACACACACATACACACACACTGACACACACACACACTGACACACACACTGACACACACACACACACACTGACACACACACACACACACTGACACACTGACACACACACACACACTGACACACACACAGACACACACACACACACACACTGACACACACTGACACACACTGACACACACACACACACACTGACACACACACACACACTGACACACACACTGACACACACACACACACTGACACACACTGACACACACTGACACACACAACAAAGAACAAAGATCCCCCGTATAGCCTTAACAGACTGTAGGGGCAAGTGCTGTTAGCGAGCACCTATGAAGGCCGGAACGGTACACGAGGGGGTGGGTGGCCAGCACCACGCCCGACCGCCTTTGTCTCCCTAGTGGCAATGTCTACACACCGCACTAGGTACTCATTTGAGGCTGAGTCGACCTAGGGGAGGCCCGGGACCGGTTCAGATAATCGTCACTGGTGTTGGCCGTGAGCGGGAATCGAACCCGGGTCGCCAGGTTCATAGCGCAGCGCGCTAACCGCTACACTATCGCTCCCCATAACTGACACACACACACACACTGACACACACACACACACTGACACACACACTGACACACACACACACAGACACACACACACTGACACACACACACACACACTGACACACACACACACACACACTGACACACACACACACACACTGACACACACACACACACACTGACACACTGACACACACACACACACTGACACACACACAGACACACACACACACACACACTGACACACACTGACACACACTGACACACACACACACACACTGACACACACACACACACTGACACACACACTGACACACACACACACACTGACACACACTGACACACACTGACACACACACACACACTGACACACACACACACACTGACACACACACTGACACACACACACAGACACACACACACTGACACACACACACACACACTGACACACACACACACACACACTGACACACATACACACACACTGACACACACACACACACACGCACGCGCGCGCACCCTCTAGCAGGGTCCAGTCGATGTCCATGTCGGCGGGCTTGAGTAGTGCCGGGTGGCGGTTGAAGAGGTTCGCCACGAAGGCGACGTTCAGCTTGGGGTTGCCTCGCACCACGTCCAAGGGGGTCACGAATTGCCGGCAGCCCAGCCGCTCAGCCTGCTGCAGCATCGCCTCCGCACGCCCCACGTCCTCTACCTCCTGGGGGGGGCGGGGCGGGGCGGGGGTGGTGGGTGGTGGGTGGAGGTGGTGGGTGGAGGTGGTGGGTGGAGGTTGTGGGTGGAGGTGGTGGGTGGAGGTGGTTGGTGGAGGTGATGGGTGGAGGTCGTGGGTGGAGGTGGTGGGTGGAGGTGGTGGGTGGAGGTGATTGGACGAGGTTGTGGGTGGAGGTGGTGGGTGGAGGTGGTGGGTGGAGGTGGTGGGTGGAGGTGGTGGGTGGAGGTGATTGGGTGGAGGTGGTGGGTGGAGGTGTTTGGTGGAGGTGATGGGTTGAGGTGGTTGGGTGAGGTGATGGGTGGAGGTGGTTGGTGGAGGTGGTGGGTGGAGGTGGTGGGTGGAGGTGGTTGGTGGAGGTGGTGGGTGGTGGTGGGTGGAGGTGATGGGTTGAGGTGGTGGGTGGAGGTGGTTGTTTGAGGTGGTGGGTGGAGGTTGTGGGTGGAGGTGGTGGGTGGAGGTGGTGGGTGGAGGTGGTGGGTGGAGGTGGTTGGTGGAGGTAATGGGTTGAGGTGGTTGGGTGAGGTGATGGGTGGAGGTGGTGGGTGGAGGTGGTTGGTGGAGGTGGTGGGTGGAGGTGATGGGTGGAGGTGGTGGGTGGAGGTGGTTGGTGGAGGTGGTGGGTGGAGGTGGTGGGTGGAGGTGGTGGGTGAAGGTGATGGGTGGAGGTGATGGGTGGAGGTGGTGGGTGAAGGTGGTTGGTGGAGGTGGTGGGTGGGGGTGGTGGGTGGAGGTGGTGGGTGGAGGTGGTGGGTGGAGGTGGTGACTCACGTTGAAGCCAGACATGTCGATGTCCACCCTATCCTCCCCCTTGGGAGCGATTTGGTTGAGCAGGTGGAAGTACGCCTTGGAGTCCTGGTGGACACACGGACAGACGCATAGTTAGACACACAGACACACACGGACACACACAGACACACACGTGGACACACGGACAAACGCACAGTTAGACACACGGACACACACGGACACACACGTGGACACACGGACACACGGACACACACGTGGACACACGGATACTCGCACAGTTAGACACACGGACACACACGGACACACACGTGGACACACGGACACACACGTGGACACACGGATACACGCACAGTTAGACACACGGACACACACGTGGACACACACGTGGACACACGGACACACGCACAGTTAGACACACGGACACACACGTGGACACACACGTGGACACACGGACACACGCACAGTTAGACACACGGACACACACGTGGACACACACGTGGACACACGGACACACGCACAGGTGATGATGATGATGATTGCTTGTGTTGCAGTCGAAACGTCGTGAGAATTTTATTGTTTTATATTTTTATAATTTTGTTTCCCTTCTTCATCAGGTGATGATGATGATGATTGCTTGTGTTGCAGGTGATGATGATTGCTTGTGTTGCAGTCGAAACGTCGTGAGAATTTTATTGTTTTATATTTTTATTATTTTATTGTGTCCCTTCTTCATCAGGTGATGATGATGATGATGATTGCTTGTGTTGCAGGTGATGATGATTGCTTGTGTTGCAGTCGAAACATCGTGAGAATTTTATTGTTTTATATTTGTATTATTTTATTGTTTCCCTTCTTCATCAGGTGATGATGATTGCTTGTGTTGCAGGTGATGATGATTGCTTGCGTTGCAGTCGAAACGTCGTGAGAATTTTTTTTTGCTTTACATTTTTTATTATTTTATTGTTTCCCTTCTACGCGGCGGTGACTTTAACCGAAAGAACCACGAATATGCTGCAGTGAGTTCAAAATTGCTGTCGGCAGGGTGCTAACTGGTGACACAACCCTTTAAACATCACACCACTCAACAGCGGCTCCTGATCCGTCACTGGGCTCGCTGTCAGTACCACCCCACCCCCCGTAGTGATTTTAAGATTCTCCAGCTGCTATTCAAGGCCTTACACGTGGACTTGCTCCACCCCATACGTTCATGAATGACCTCCTTCAGCCACGAATGTTCCTTCGAGATCATTAAGATCGCCACACTGTGCATTGCTCACCGTCACCGTCACCACGGTATGGGGAGAGGGGGGGGGGGGGATGACGGCGCCTTGAAATTTGCGGCCCCCTAAACTCTGCAGCTCCTTGCCCCTTCGAGGTCAGGGGGCTTACCAGACACGTACGAATCATGAAATCTCGACTAGAAACGTCTCTGTTTAAAATGTCTCTCTCTCTCTCTCTGGTTAATTTCAAACGTCTTTCTCGCTTCTTCCTCTCCTCTGCTTGCTTGATGTTTCACTATTTCCGCCTTTCACTGCGTAGCGGCCCTGAGAACTATCTAGTTCCAGGGCGCTTTATACTTTTACATTGTGAGTGTGCATCCAGTGTGAGTGTCACTGTGTCCCCACGTCTCTCCGTGTCACCCACCCCCACACTCTTATGCCCCCGTAGCCCACGTGACCCCCAACCCCCCACCCCCCCCCACCCCCCCCCGTGTCCTCCCCCACCCCCCCCCCCAAATCCTCCCCCACCCCCCCCCCCGTGTCCTCCCCCACCCCCCCCGTGTCTCCCCATGCCCTCGTCCCTCCCCTCGTATCTCCTCTGTGCCCCCACCCCTCCCCCAGTACCCCACGTGACCCCCCCCCCCCACCCTTCGTGTGTCCCCCTGTCTCTCCATTCCCCCCCCTCCTCCCCCCCCCCCCCCCCCCGCGTGCCCCCCACAAGCCTTGATGTCGGTGGAGAAGTTATTGATCTTGTTCCAGCCGGCCTCCTCCAGGTGGTGGTTGACCCAACGCAGGAGCAGCTCCTCGGGAGAGAGCTTCACCAGCTCCTCCAGCGTCTCCCCGTCACGCAGCAGAGCCACGAGGGCTGCACACAGGCAGCGGCAGCAGCATCAGTAGCAGCATCATCATCAGCATCATCATCGCCACCAGCATCATCATCATCATCAGTAGCAGCATCATCAGCATCATCATCATCATCGTCAGTAGCAGCATCATCATCAGTAGCATCATCATCACCACCAGCATCATCATCGTCAGTAGCAGCATCATCAGCATCATCATCGCCACCAGCATCATCATCATCAGCATCATCATCACCACCAGCATCATCATCATCAGTAGCAGCATCATCAGCATCATCATCGTCAGTAGCAGCATCATCATCAGTAGCAGCATCATCAGCAATATCATCACCACCAGCATCATCATCATCAGCATCATCATCACCACCAGCATCAGCATCATCATCAGTAGCAGCATCATCATCATCAGTAGCAGCATCATCAGCATCGTCGTTATCATCGTCAGTAGCAGCATCATCAGCATCATCAGCACCACCAGCATCATCATCATCATCAGTAGCAGCAGCATCAGCATCATCATCAGTAGCAGCATCATCATCATCAGTAGCAGCATCATCATCATCAGTAGCAGCATCATCATCAGTAGCAGCAGCATCAGCATCATCATCATCAGTAGCAGCAGCAGCATCATCATCAGCATCAGTAGCAGCGTCCTCATCATCATCATCAGTAGCAGCATCATCAACATCATCATCATCATCAGTAGCAGCAGCATCAGCATCATCATCATCAGTAGCAGCATCATCAGCATCATCATCACCACCAGCATCATCATCATCAGCATCATCATCACCACCAGCATCATCATCAGTAGCAGCATCATCATCATCAGTAGCAGCATCATCAGCATCGTCGTTATCATCGTCAGTAGCAGCATCATCAGCATCATCAGCACCACCAGCATCATCATCATCAGTAGCAGCATCAGCATCATCATCAGTAGCAGCATCATCATCATCAGTAGCAGCATCATCATCATCATCAGTAGCAGCATCATCATCATCAGTAGCAGCAGCATCAGCATCATCATCAGTAGCAGCAGCAGCATCATCATCAGCATCAGTAGCAGCGTCCTCATCATCATCATCAGTAGCAGCATCATCAACATCATCATCATCAGTAGCAGCAGCATCAGCATCATCATCAGTAGCAGCATCATCAGCATCATCATCACCACCAGCATCATCATCAGCATCATCATCACCACCAGCATCAGCATCATCATCAGTAGCAGCATCATCATCATCAGTAGCAGCATCATCAGCATCGTCGTTATCATCGTCAGTAGCAGCATCATCAGCATAATCAGCACCACCAGCATCATCATCATCATCAGTAGCAGCAGCATCAGCATCATCATCAGTAGCAGCATCATCATCATCAGTAGCAGCATCATCATCATCAGTAGCAGCATCATCATCATCAGTAGCAGCAGCATCAGCATCATCATCATCATCAGTAGCAGCAGCAGCATCAGCATCAGTAGCAGCGTCCTCATCATCATCATCAGTAGCAGCATCATCAACATCATCATCATCAGTAGCAGCATCATCAACATCATTATCATCAGTAGCATCATCAGCATCACCATCAGTAGCAGCATCATCAGCATCATCATCAGCATCATCATCATCAGTAGCATCGTTAGGAGCAGCATCGTCGTCTTCAACATCAGTAGCAGCATCATCATCATCAGTAGCATCATCAGCATCACCATCAGTAGCAGCATCATCAGCATCATCATCAGCATCATCATCATCATCAGTAGCATCATCGTTAGGAGCAGCATCGTCGTCTTCATCATCAGTAGCAGCATCATCATCATTAGTAGCAGCATCATCATCATCAGTAGCAGCATCATCATCATCAGTAGCAGCATCATCATCATCAGTAGCAGTATTATCATCATCATTCGCAGCAACATCATTCGCAGCAACATCAGCAGCACCACGATCAGCAGCAGCATCATCGGCACCAGCAGCATCATCATCATCATCTTCATCAGTATCAGCAGCATCATCATCAGTAGCAGCAGCATCGTCATAATCTTCATCAGCAGCAGCATCAGCAGCATCGTCATCATTCACTTCAGCAGCATCAGCAGCATCGCTTCAGCAGCAGCATCATCGCTAGCAGCATCATCGATACCATCATCAGTATCAGCAGCAACACCAGCACCATCAGCAGCAGCAGCAGCATAATGACGACATGAGACTCCTATCCTGATCTCTCCCGTCCCTGTTTACACACAGAATCAACTGGAGCTTGGACAAGTGTCCAACTCGTTGTGGTCTCCACCACCACCACCCCCCACCCCTCCTTCCCCCCTCCACTCACCCTCGTTCCTGGTGATCTCGATGGAGGCAAAGAGGCCGATCTTGATCACCTGCCACAGGAGGCCCAGCACCAGGTGGGGCTTCCCCTCCCGCAGGTCCTCCGCGCCGATGTTCACCACGTGGCAGCCGATCGCCGACGCCGAGTTCAGAGCCAGGTTCAGGTTCTCCTGGGAGGGGGAAGGGGGGAAAGGAGGGGGAGAGGAGAAAGAGGGAGGGAGGGAGGGAGGGGAGGGAGGGGAGGGAGGGAGGGAGGGGAGGGAGGGGAGGGAGGGAGGGAGGGGAGGGAGGGGAGGGAGGGAGGGGAGGGAGGGGAGGGAGGGAGGGAGGGGAGGGACGGGAGGGAGGGAGGGAGGGGAGGGAGGGAGGGGAGGGAGGGAGGGAGGGAGGGAGGGGAGGGAGGGAGGAAGGGAGGGAGGGGAGGGAGGGGAGGGAGGGAGGGGAGGGAGGGGAGGGAGGGGAGGGGAGGGAGGGGAGGGAGGGAGGGCACCACAATGGCGAGACGTTAACTACCTCGCCTGGTTTACCAAACTAAACTGTAAACTATAATAATAATAATAGGGTTTTCCCCTTTTTTCTAGCAACAAAACTGCAACCTTTTTACAAGGATTCATGTCTGCATTAACCACAACACATGCAGTCAAAAAACATACTTTAATAATATATGCATTGTCCTTGAAACTGATTGGTCCACACCAAGGGACGGCTTTCTTTTGAGCCACGACCCAATTGCTGCTCGACCAGATGACGCCCACTGAGCTGTATAGCTCTTTGATCAGACGCGACCTGGCTATCACAAATTATAGCTTCTCAACGAAGTGGGCTCAACATCAACATCATCATCATCACCATCATCGCGTGGAAATGTATAGCAGTAGCGAAATACCCTAAACGTGTGACGTTGATTCTCAGTGTGGAGGGAAAATATGGAGGAGGGCCAGGAGAAAAATCCACGCAACCTCTACGGGAAGAGAGAGAGAGGGAGAGACACGCAAACTCCAAATATACAGGAGTCAGGGTCAGCATCGAACTCATGGCCTCCTGCATGCCACGTGAGGTAGTTAAAATCTCGCCACTGTGATGCCCATAGGAGATCGTGGGTTCGATCCTGACCCCTGACGACGCCTTGCTGCTGTATATTTGGAGTTTGCGTCTCGCTCTCTCGCTCTCTCTCTCTCCCCGTGGTCGTCTGGATTTTGATCCGCGTCCTCCTGGTTTTTCCCTCCATATTTCGAATGAACTTCACGCGCTTCGAGGACTTGGCTACCGCTGTAGATTTCCACGAGGGTAGCCACTTCGTTGAACTGCTATCATTCGTGACGGCAAGGGTCGCTTCGGGGAAGAAAAAAAAAGAGCTGCACAACTCAGTGGGCCTCAGCTGGTAAAATGGAGAAAAAAAATTAGCACAGCAGGGGAGAAACCACCACGAGTTTGAACAGATTCAAGATTCCAGTTGATACTGTGCGTGACCAAAAGCTCAAGAGGACCGGGATAGGAGTCTCATTTCCAAGGGTGACCTCAGGGTGATCACAAACTTAACATGCAGATTTCGTCGGGACACATAGCGGTTCCGACATCGTGGGACATTAGCTTCCCCCGTACACGGTGACATCAATCCCTGTAGGAGCGAGGGGAGGAGGAGGAGGAGGAGGAGGAGGGAATTGCAGATGGGTAAACATGGGGATAAGAGGGAGACGTTGGCAGGAGTGAGCAAAAGGAGAGAGCTGTGGATGAAGCAGAGAGCTGTGGATGAAGCAGAGAGCTGTGGATGAAGGAGATAACTGTGGATGAAGGAGGGAGAGCTGTGGATGGAAGGAGGGAGAGCTATGGATGAAGGAGAGAACTGTTAATGAAGGAGGGAGCTGTGGATGAAGCAGAGAGCTGTGGATGAAGGAGAGAGCTGTGGATGAAGCAGAGAGCTGTGGATGAAGTAGAGAGCTGTGGATGAAGGAGATAACTGTGGATGAAGGAGGGAGAGCTGTGGATGGAAGGAGGGAGAGCTATGGATGAAGGAGAGAACTGTTAATGAAGGAGGGAGCTGTGGATGAAGCAGAGAACTGTGGATGAAGGAGAGAGCTGTGGATGAAGCAGAGAGCTGTGGATGAAGGAGATAACTGTGTATGAAGGAGGGAGAGCTGTGGATGGAAGGAGGGAGAGCTGTGGATGGAAGGAGGGCGAGCTATGGATGAAGGAGATAACTGTTATGGAAGGAGGGAGCTGTGGATGAAAGAGGGTGCTGTGGATGAAAGAGGAGGCAGCATGTGATGGATAAGGTGGAATAAAAGGCGTGGAATCCTCACCTGTCTCCACGTGTTGGTGACGAGAGTGCTCGAATACAGATCGAATGTGCGACCCCCACTGTGCTAACCAGTTGCTATAGGCTGCTGCTGTGGAGGCTATGTGGCAGGCAGCAGCAGCAGAGGGCATCGGAGCAGCAAGCTCCATTATTGTACTGTCTCGTCTATGTTCCCGAATCTCTGTTATCCCAGCCACCTTCAGCAAAAAACCGCATTGACTAGCGTGGTGAAGTATGGTCATCCCGCATAAACGACCCAACCCCCCCATCCCCTCTCCTACCCCCCCCCCCTCTCCCCAGAGGCCACCCACGTCCCACATGGAGTGACACAAGTTGCCGCATGTAGACTGTACACGTGTCTGTCAAATGAGGAAAAGCCTTAATGTTCAACCGAAGTGGGGATGGTGGGGGGAGGATGGGAAAGAGGAACAAGTTGTGGGGGTAACCTGGGGGTGGGGGGGGGAGGCGGAAGGGGGGAGGGGTCAGGATATGTGTTGGGGTGGTGTGGTCGATAGCACCCTGATGACCTCACAGCACTTGCCCCGACAGTCTGTCGAGGCTATGCGGTGGGACTTTGTGGTACGGACCACACCACTACCAACCAAACACCACGTGAACCGCGTTGACCTACATAGGTCTCTACTCGCTCGCAGCACTTGCCACGGCAGTCAGTGGAGGCTATACGGGGGATCTTTGTCTGTGTCTGTGTGTGTGTGTGTGAAACACGATGACCGGAGTTCGATTCCCGCTCACGGACACCTACACCCAGTGACGATTCTTTGAACCGGTCCTGGGCCTTCCCTAGGTCGACTCAGCCTCAAAATGAGTACCTGGTGCAGCGTGTCAACATCGCCACTCGGGGAGACAAAGGCGACCGGGCGCGGTGCTGGCCACCCGCCCCCCTCGTGTACCGTGCCGGCCTTCACAGGCGCTGCTACTCGCTAACAGCACTTGCCCCAACAGTCTGCTGAGGCTACACGGGGGGAGGGTGGGGGGGGGGGGTTATCTTTGTCTGATACAGCGAGTGAGAGAGAAGTGTTTGGAGAAGTAAGGAAAGCTGTGTCCGCGCGGCCATGAACATCCGCTGCGCAAGCGCCACACGGAGACCGCTTCCCCCGCTCCTCCTGCGGCGCACAGCCAACGCGTGTCTCTGTGAGCGGTGGCGCCGCGGTTGGCACACCGTGCCACGACACCGCCCCCCTCCCCCCCCCCCCCACCCACCACCACCACCACCGCCCCCCCTCCCCATCCCCCTCACTCCCACCCGTCGCGTACCGAGTCGAGTTCGATTTACCCCGCGGCTCACGGCGATCGACCACCAATCGGTCCCCGGGGCCTTCCCTAGGTCGGCTCGGCCTCCGATGAATGCCTCCACTGACACGGGGAGGCAACGGCGGACCGGTCTGGCGTGCACGGCCCCTGGCCCACTCCACCCCCTCGTCCCGGCCACGAGACCCCCCCCCCTCCACCCCCCACCCCTCATTCATAGGCGCTGCTAAGTCACTCGCAGCACTTGCCCCCGACATCCCTGTCTGAGCTACACGGCGGAACTTTGTCTCTGTGAACGCCACTTGCGATGAGCGGTGATGTGCGGTGGTGCCACAGCAACGGAGCAACTCCGCCGGCGCCGCCATCCCCTCACACCCCTCAACAGGAACGCACGCACACCCCCACTAAACGCACACCCCCACTAAACACACACACACACGCACCCACGTAGGGTCTCGTGGGGGGGGGGGGGGTCACCTGGTACCATGACTTTTTTTACCCGAGGAGCCCCGAGCGGGGATGTCCCACGGTTTCCCAGTGCCAGGAGATTGGCCGACCCCCCCCCCCCCCCCGCCAAGGCCAAATTTCATTGCGGCCCCCGTGAATTGGCTTAAGATTGTATGGGCGTGATGAAGCTCACCGGGCTAACCGCAATGAGACACTCACAGCACGGGGAAGGGGCCGGGGGAGGGAGGGGGGGGGGGGACATATCGAGCGGGCAGCGCAGACGAGGAGGTGGGAGGGAGATTCCTGGACCCACTGCAGATGTTCATTCCACAGGACGGCCACCCCGAACAAACCGGTTGAGTCCGGGGTGGGGAGGACGGGTGCGTAGACAACGGAAAGTAACGCTCCAGGTAGGGGCGGGGCATCGGTTTAAAATCGAAAGGTAGGCGCCCGATTGGCCGCGCAGGATAACACCACGTGACTCTGGATCTTTGGATTCCGAATCCCAGCCGCTCGCAGCGTCCGAGAGACGCTAGTGAGCGTCGCTACGACTCGACCCCAGGCAGAGACCTCTCGGATCATCGTCCCTGCGACCGCCACAGTCCGTGCGACACACCGTGAGTGCGTCTGCGAGGTGAGAAGTAGCGTGAGGGTACACCCAGGGATTGAATAGGAATAGGCTAGGTGCTGCTCGTGGAATATTCACCTACGTGACTTTACCGAATAGAACCAAAGAGTATGGATCCTTGCAGTCACGAAAGCTTCAAATCTAGAATTGATAACCTCTACGGGGAGGGCTTTCACCTATCTGTTAGAGCTTTCAACAGACAACGGGACAAGAAGTCACAGCTCATCGAGACGATGACCTTCCTCAAAAGATGCCGCGACCACAAGCTTAAAAGGACGCGACCGGGGCTGGACTGTCTTCACTCCAACGCTGTCCTCGTGACAGAACGGTCCCCTTCACCTGATGAAGGCCACTTGTGTTGTGGCCGAAACGTCGTGATTTTTACTGTTTCATTTTTTACCTACGTGACTTTACCGAATAGAACCAAAGAGTAGAGAAGCACAGGGTTTTTCCTTTTAGACGCGCCATTAATAAGCTTCAGTTCGGAAGATCGGTGCGCGGTGCGATTTCTGTGCGTGTGGGTGAACTTCGGCGTGGTGTCCGTGATTTTTGAGCGGAGCGACTGCGCGCGGGGGGCGGGGTGCGTGAGAGAGCGAGCGCGGAGCCGCAGGCTGTCGGCGCCGGCTTGGTGTGTGAGGTGCGCATCTATTACCATCTATACGACCGGGACTGGTTACGCGGGTTATCGCGAGGTGTGTAGAAAGCGCGCTCCTGCTGCGCCGCGCGAGTGATTAAGGTGGGGGTCGGGGTGCGCTTAGTCCACTCCCCGCCGTTTGCGCGTAGATTGCCACCTCTGCGACCGCCACATTTTGCGCGGGGTTACGGGTGGGTGTAAGAGCGCGCGTCTGAAGCGCCGCGCGAGTGTATTTGAGCCTGCGCGTGAGGCGCGTGTACGGCAGCACCCAGAGCCGCCGTTGCGCGCACGCGCTTGCGCGCGCGTTTACACGGCGCGCTTTACACAGCGCGTTTTACACGGCGCGCTTTACACAGCGCGCTTTACACGGCGTGCTTTACACGGCGTGCTTTACGCGGCGTGCTTTACACGGCGCGCTTTACACAGCGCGCTTTACACAGCGTGCTTTACACAGCGCGCTTTACACAGCGTGCTTTACACAGCGCGCTTTACACAGCGCGCTTTACACAGCGTGATTTACACAGCGCGCTTTACACAGCGCGATTTACACAGCGCGCTTTACACAGCGTGCTTTACACGGCGCGCTTTACACGGCGCGCTTTACACAGCGTGCTTTACACAGCGCGTTCACGCAGTAGGACTTGCGTTTACGGTGAGGCGTGCCCCGTAGCCCTGTCCCAGCCGCTCCTTTCCCGCTAGCATTAGCATCTGTTTGCACAGCGGATTAAGGCTTATCCACCAGGGGGAAAGGGGTGCATATTCATACGGCTATTTTTAGCGCTAGCCGTTGCGTGCATCGAGCACCTGCAGGGGCGCGCGCGTGCACGCAGCCACCTCCGCATGAGTGGTGGTGTACGTGGGGAGTGTGTGGGATTACTCCCGGGCGGTGGTGAGCCAGCCACTTAGCCAAGTCCCTCAGAGAGGGCGCTGGTGCGGGTGGGGGGGGGGGGGGGCGATCATCCGATCGGCGGGGTGGCCCGGCGAGAAGTGCCCGAGGAGGATGGGGGAGTCGAGGGGGTGGACGTCGCTCCCCGCCCGCTCACGGGGATCTGGGAGGTGGGCGTCAGCCCCCACAGTAGCGGTCAGCGATACGCTGCGCTTCGAACCCGGGCGACCCAAGTTCGATTCCCGCTCACGGCCAACACCGCTGGCGATTATCTGAACCGCTCCTGGGACTGCTGTGGGTCGGCTCAGCAATCAACTGAGTGCCTGGTGCGGTGCGTAGACAACATCGCCACTGGGGAGACAAAGGCGGCCGTGCGTGTGGCCTGGCCACCCACCTCCTCGTGCGCTATGCCGGCCTTCAAAGGTGCTCGCTAAAAGGACTTGCCCCAACTTTCTGTTAGAGGCTATACGGGGGATCTTTGTCTTTGTGTGCGTGTGTGTGTGTGTGACGAATGTCTGAACTGGTCATGGACCTCCCCTAGGTAGACTCAGCCTCAACTGAGTACCTGGTGCGGTGTAGTAAACATCGCCACTGGGAAGACAAAGACGGCCGTGCGTGGTGCTGGCCACCCATCTCCTCGTGTGTCACAGTGCCGGCCTCCATAGGCGCCGCTAAGTCGCTACCAGCACTTGCCCCCAAAAGTCTGTGGAGGCTACGCGGGGGATCTTTGTCTTTGTCCGAGTGTCGCTCACCTGGATGGTGAACGGGGTGAGCTTCTTCTTGTTGATCGTCCGCTCGTCGATCGTGTCCGGCACCGAGTGGTTGATCATCTTGCTGCACGGGACGGGACGGGGTGGGGGGAGAGGGTGTCACACGGCACCAGCACTAGCACCATCACTAACACCATCACTAGCACTAGCACCAGCACTAACACCATCACTAGCACTATCACTAGCACTAGCACCATCACTAGCACCATCACTAGCACCATCACTAGCACTAGCACCAGCACTAACACCATCACTAACACCATCACTAGCACTAGCACCATCACTAACACCATCACTAGCACCATCACTAGCACTAGCACCAGCACTAACACCATCACTAGCACTATCACTAGCACCATCACTAGCACCAGCACCATCACTAGCACCATAACTAGCACCAGCACTAGCACCAGCACTAACACCAGCACCAGCACTGACACCATCACTAACACTAGCACCAGCACCATCACTAACACCAGCACTAGGACCAGCACTAGCACCAGCACCAACACTAGCACCAGCACTAGCACCATTACTAACACCATCACCATCACCAGCACTAGCACCAGCACCATCACTAACACCAGCACTAGCACCATCACTAACACCATCACTAGCACCAACACTAGCACCAATACTAGCACTAGCACTATCACTAGCACCAGCACTAGCACCATCACTAGCACCAACACTAGCACCATCACTAGCACCATCACTAGCACCAGCACCATCACTAGCACCATCACTAGCACCATCACTAGCACCAGCACTAGCACCAGCACTAGCACTAGTACCAGCACCATCACTAGCACCATCACTAGCACTAGCACCAGCACTAACACCATCACTAGCACCATCACTAGCACTAGCACCAGCACTAGCACTATCACTAGCACCATCACTAGCACCAGCACTAGCACCAGCACTAGCACTAGCACCATCACTAGCACTATCACTAGCACTAGCATAGCCATATGACAACCACAAGCAGGAGGAGCAGCAGGGGGAAGAGGAGGTGGAGGAGGAGGATGAGGAGGATGAGGAGGTGGAGGAGGATGAGGAAGTGGAGGAGGTGGAGGATGAGGAGGTGGAGGAGGGTAAGTTGAAGGTGGTGGAGGACGTGGAGGATGAAGAGGTTGAGGGCGATGAGGTGGATGTGGAGGATGAGGAGGTGGAGGATGAGGTGGAGGTGGATGAGGTGGAGGATGAGGAGGTGGATGAGGTGGATGAGGTGGAGCATGAAGAGGTGGAGGATGAGGAGGTGGAGGAGGTGGAGGATGAGGATGTGGATGATGAGGAGGTGGAGGATGAGGAGGATGAGGAGGTGCAGGATGAGGAGGTGGAGGATGAGGAGGTGGAGGATGAGGAGGATGAGGAGGTGGAGGATGAGGAGGTGGAGGATGAGGAGGGGGAGGATGAGGAGGTGGAGGATGAGGAGGGGGAGGATGAGGAGGTGGAGGATGAGGAGGTGGAGGTTGAGGACGTGCAGGATGAGGAGGTGGAGGATGAGGAAGTTGAGGAGGTGGAGGATGAGGAGGTGGAGGTCGAGGAGGTGCAGGATGAGGAGGAATCACCAGAGGACGATGCCGTCGCCCACGCAGTGGAAGAGCGACTCGCTGTCAGGGTCCATGGGCAGCACGTGGTGGCAGTCAGTGTCGCCTTCCAGCGCCATGTTCATCCAGTTCACGAACGCCACTTTCTCCTCCTCTACACACAGCGGGTGGTGAGGAGGTGGTGGTGAGGAGGTGACGGTGAGGAGGTGACGGTGAGGAGGTGACGGTGAGGAGGTGGTGGTGAGGAGGTGGTGGTGAGGAGGTGACGGTGAGGAGGTGGTGGTGAGGAGGTGGTGGTGAGGAGGTGACGGTGAGGAGGTGACGGTGAGGAGGTGGTGGTGAGGAGGTGATCGTGAGGAGGTGGTGGTGAGGAGGTGACGGTGAGGAGGTGGTGGTGAGGAGGGGGTGGTGAGGAGGTGACGGTGAGGAGGTGATGGTGAGGAGGTGACGGTGAGGAGGTGATGGTGAGGAGGTGGTGGTGAGGAGGTGACGGTGAGGAGGTGATTGTGAGGAGGTGGTGGTGAGGAGGTGATCGTGAGGAGGTGGTGGTGAGGAGGTGACGGTGAGGAGGTGGTGGTGAGGAGGGGGTGGTGAGGAGGTGACGGTGAGGAGGTGATGGTGAGGAGGTGACGGTGAGGAGGTGATGGTGAGGAGGTGGTGGTGAGGAGGTGACGGTGAGGAGGTGACGGTGAGGAGGTGGTGGTGAGGAGGTGATCGTGAGGAGGTGGTGGTGAGGAGGTGACGGTGAGGAGGTGACGGTGAGGAGGTGACGGTGAGGAGGTGGTGGTGAGGAGGTGATCGTGAGGAGGTGGTGGTGAGGAGGTGACGGTGAGGAGGTGGTGGTGAGGAGGTGACGGTGAGGAGGTGACGGTGAGGAGGTGGTGGTGAGGAGGTGACGGTGAGGAGGTGGTGGTGAGGAGGGGGTGGTGAGGAGGTGATCGTGAGGAGGTGGTGGTGAGGAGGTGACGGTGAGGAGGTGGTGGTGAGGAGGGGGTGGTGAGGAGGTAGTGGTGAGGAGGTGATGGTGAGGAGGTGACGGTGAGGAGGTGGTGGTGAGGAGGTGACGGTGAGGAGGTGGTGGTGAGGAGGTGGTGGTGAGGAGGTGACGGTGAGGAGGTGGTGGTGAGGAGGTGGTGGTGAGGAGGTGATGGTGAGGAGGTGACGGTGAGGAGGTGGTGGTGAGGAGGTGACGGTGAGGAGGTGGTGGTGAGGAGGTGACGGTGAGGAGGTGGTGGTGAGGAGGTGGTGGTGAGGAGGTGGTGGTGAGGAGGTGGTGGTGGTGAGGAGGTGGTAAGGAGGTGGTGGTGAGGAGGTGGTGGTGAGGAGGTGGTGGTGAGGAGGTGGTGGTGGTGAGGAGGTGGTAAGGAGGTGGTGGTGAGGAGGTGGTGGTGAGGAGGTGGTGGTGAGGAGGTGGTGGTGGTGAGGAGGTGGTAAGGAGGTGGTGGTGAGGAGGTGGTGGTGAGGAGGTGGTGGTGGTGAGGAGGTGGTAAGGAGGTGGTGGTGAGGAGGTGGTGGTGAGGAGGTGATGGTGAGGAGGGGGTGGTGGTGAGGAGGTGACGGTGAGGAGGTGGTGGTGAGGAGGTGGTGGTGAGGAGGTGGTGGTGAGGAGGTGATGGTGAGGAGGTGATGGTGAGGAGGTGGTCGTGAGGAGGTGACGGTGAGAAGGTGGTGGTTGTAGTTACTGGTGACCAGGGGTGGATAACAAGGGGGGCATGGGGGGTGGGGGTGGGGGCTATCCCCCCCCCCCCGCCCCCACTTGGCTAACAGCCGCAATTCTCATCGATGATGTTGAAACTTCTGATGATTTTTCGATTTGAAGCTTTCGTGACTGCAGGGATTCATCTCCTTGGTTCTCTCGGTAAAGTCACCACCACGTAGAAGGGAAGTAATAAAATAAGAAAATAAGAAAATAAAACGTAATAATATTTTCTTATGATGAACTACTGATGATGATAATGATGTTGATTGGACTGCTGATGATGATGATGCTGGTGATGCTGCTTCTGTTGATGATGTTAATGATGATGTTAATGATGATGAGGATGCTGCTCGCGATGATTCTTCTGCCGATGATGCCGCTGATGATGATGGTGATGATTCCGTTGCTGCTTATGATGTTAAACTAAACTTTTTATTGTTTTTGTTTTACCAGATATGGCCCACTGAGCTGTGTAGATCTTTTGAAGAAGCGACCCTGGCTATCGCAAATGACAGCTCAACGGAGTGGCATCATCATCATCATCGTCACGTGGACATGCATAGCGGTCAAATACTCCAAGCAACAGGTCAGAATCGAACCCACGACCTCCTGCGTACCGGGCGAGGGAGTTAACATCTCCTAGCCACCGTGGTGATGATGACGATGAGAGAGAGAGAGACACACACAAACTCCATTATACACAGAAGGCATCGTTAGGGTCGGGATCGAACCCACGACCTCCTGCGTACCGGGCGAGGTAGTTAACATCTCCTAGCCACCGTGGTGATGATGACGATGAGAGAGAGAGACACACACACAAACTCCATTATACACAGAAGGCATCGTTAGGGTCGGGATCGAACCCACGACCTCCTGCGTACCGGGCGAGGTAGTTAACATCTCCTAGCCACCGTGGTGATGATGACGATGAGAGAGAGAGAGACACACACACAAACTCCATTATACACAGCAAGCATCGTTAGGGTCGGGATCGAACCCACGACCTCCTGGATACCGGGCGAGGTAGTTAACATCTCCTAGCCACCGTGGTGATGATGACGATGAGAGAGAGAGACGCAACAATCCAGACAGCAGGCGTCAGGGTTCATGATTGAACGCACGAACCTCCTGCATACCAGGATAGGTGAGTTAACATCGCCCAACCACCATCATGATGATGATGGTAGACGCGCAAAGATCAAAATATACAGCAGCAGGCGTCGGGGGTCGGGGGTCGGGATCGAACCCACGATTTCGTGCACACCAGGCGAGGTAGTTAACATCTTGCCACCGTGATGGTGATGATGATGATGAAAGAGAGAGAGAGACACTAAAACTCCAAATATACAAGAGGCATCTTCCGGTGTCGGGATCGAACCCCACGATTTCGTGCACACCAGGCGAGGTAGTTAAAATCTTGCCACCGTGATGGTGATCATGATGACGATGAAAGAGAGAGAGACACTAAAACTCCAAATATACAAGAGGCCTCTTCAGGTGTCGGGATCGAACCCCACGATTTCGTGATCACCAGGCGAGGTAGTTAACATCTTGCCACCGTGATGGTGATGATGAAAGAGAGAGAGACACTAAAACTCCAAATATACAAGAGGCATCTTCCGGTGTCGGGATCGAACCCCACGATTTCGTGCTCACCAGGCGAGGTAGTTAACATCTTGCCACCGCGATGGTGATGATGATGATGAAAGAGAGAGAGACACTAAAACTCCAAATATACAAGAGGCATCTTCCGGTGTCGGGATCGAACCCACGATTTCGTGCTCACCAGGCGAGGTAGTTAAAATCTTGCCACCGTGATGGTGATGATGAAAGAGAGAGAGACACTAAAACTCCAAATATACAAGAGGCATCTTCCGGTGTCGGGATCGAACCCCACGATTTCGTGCTCACCAGGCGAGGTAGTTAACATCTTGCCACCGCGATGGTGATGATGATGATGAAAGAGAGAGAGACACTAAAACTCCAAATATACAAGAGGCATCTTCCGGTGTCGGGATCGAACCCACGATTTCGTGCTCACCAGGCGAGGTAGTTAAAATCTTGCCACCGTGATGGTGATGATGAAAGAGAGAGAGACACTAAAACTCCAAATATACAAGAGGCATCTTCCGGTGTCGGGATCGAACCCCACGATTTCGTGCTCACCAGGCGAGGTAGTTAAAATCTTGCCACCGTGATGGTGATGATGAAAGAGAGAGAGACACTAAAACTCCAAATATACAAGAGGCATCTTCCGGTGTCGGGATCGAACGCCACGAGCGTGGAACCTGAGTACGAGTGTTGGGTGCCCTCGCTGGAGATATCAGAGAGTCCGCCGACAGCGCAGAGGCCCTCCTTCTGCCGGATCACGGTGCGAAACGTCTTGCTCACCTCGCCGCGCTTTACCTCCGTGTACAGCTGCGAGTCACACAAACACACACACACAGACAGGTGTGTTTGTAACTCCAAGTGACACACACACACATACAGGTGTGTTTGTAACTCCAGGTGACAAACACACAGACACACAGACACACAGACAGGTGTGTTTGTAGCTCCAAGTGACACACACATACACACATACAGGTGTGTTTGTAGCTCCAGGTGACACACACACACAGGTGTGTTTGTAGCTCCAGGTGACACACACACACACACATACGGGTGTGTGTGTAGCTCCAGGTGACACACACACACACATACACACAGGTGTGTTTGTAGCTCCAGGCGACACACACACATACACACATACAAGTGTGTTTGCAACTGCAGGTGACACACACACACATACACACAGGAGTGTTTGTAGCTCCAGGTCACACACAAACATACACACACATACAGGTGTGTTTGTAACTCCAGGTCACACACACACACACACACAGATGTGATTGTAGCTCCAGGTGACACACACACACACAGGTGTGTGTGTAGCTCCAGGTGACACACATACACATACAGGTTTGTTTGTAACTCCAGGTGACACACACAGACAGGTGTGTGTGTAGCTCCAGGTGACACACACACACACAGGTGTGTTTGTAGCTCCAGGTGACACACACACACACAGGTGTGTTTGTAACTCCAGGTGACACACACACACACACATACAGGTGTGTTTGTAACTCCAGGTCACACACACACACAGGTGTGTTTGTAACTCCAGGTGACACACACACACACACAGGTTTGTTTGTAGCTCCAGGTAACACACACACACAGGCAGGTGTGTTTGTAGCTCCAGGTGACACACACACACAGGTGTGTTTGTAGCTCCAGGTGACACACAACACAGACAGGTGTGTTTGTAGCTCCAGGTGACACACACACACACACATACAGGTGTGTTTGTAGCTCCAGGTGACACACACACACACATACAGGTGTGTTTGTAGCTCCAGGTAACACACACACACACATACAGGTGTGTTTGTAGCTCCAGGTGACACACACACACACAGGTGTCTTTGTAACTCCAGGTGACACACACACACACAGGTGTCTTTGTAACTCCAGGTGACACACACACACACATAAAGGTGTGTTTATAGCTCCAGGTGACACACACACATACAGGTGTGTTTGTAGCTACAGGTGACACACACACACACATACAGGTGTGTTTGTAGCTCCAGGTGACACACACACATACACACAGGTGTGTTTGTAGCTACAGATGACACACACATACACACAGGTGTGTTTGTAACTCCAGGTGACACACACACACATACACACAGGTGTGTTTGTAGCTCCAGGTAACACACACACACACAGGTGTGTTTGTAGCTCCAGGTGACACACACACACACACAGGTGTGTTTGTAACTCCAGGTGACACACACACACATACACACAGGTGTGTTTGTAGCTCCAGGTGACACACACACACACATACAGGTGTGTTTGTAGCTCCAGGTCACACACACACATACAGGTGTGTTTGTAGCTCCAGGTGACACACACACACATACACACAGGTGTGTTTGTAGCTCCAGGTGACACACACACACACATACAGGTGTGTTTGTAGCTCCAGGTGACACACACACACACAGGTGTGATTGTAACTCCAGGTGACACACACACACACACACAGGTGTGTTTGTAGCTCCAGGTGACACACACACACATACACACAGGTGTGTTTGTAGCTCCAAGTGACACACACACACACACACAGGTGTGTTTGTAGCTCCAGGTGACACACACACACACACAGGTGTGTTTGTAGCTCCAGGTCACACTGGAGCGGTAGTGCAGCGGTTAGCGCGCTGTGTTGCTAACCTGGCGACCCAAGTTCGATTCCCGCTCACTGCTAGCACCAGTGACGATTATCTAAACCGGTCCTGGGCCTCCCCTAGGTCGACTCAGCCTCAAACGAGTACCTAGTGCCGTGTGTAAAAACATCGCCAAGAGGGAGACAAAGGCGGCCGGGTGTGGTGCTCGTCACCCACCCCCTCGTGTGCCGTGCCGGCCTTCATAGGTGCTCTCTAACAGCACTTGCCCCTACAGTCTGTTACAGGCTACACGGGGGATGTTTGTCTTTGTATTTAGACCTCCACATGGAGAAGGCTCGTGAAGGACGCTACTGGGCAGTTGGAGGCAGTCGCCCTCCAACAACAACCGAGGGCGGAGGGGCGACGCTCACAACAGCGAGCAGAGCGCCGGGCCGATAAAGTGGAGCGAGTTGGCACAGGTGTGGAGCACAGGTGGTGGTGCATCTGCCGGTCATCTCAGTCAGCCAACCAATGGCACCTGCTGGGTCTGTCCCGTGCTGTCAGCGAGCCTCCGACACTTCACGTGATAGCCTCAAAGTGCACCTGGCCTGGCACGGGCGACGTGGTGATGTCATCGTCACTTATTGGCGAACGGCGGTTGTATTGGTATTGGTATGGCGAGGTGACCTACAGATCTATTAAGCTCGAGTTCGCATTGGGGTATAAAAATCCAGAGTTCCACTCCAGGTCACGGGGTGGACTTCTCACGGTGGACCTCAGAAGGTCGGTGTAAGGTTCGACTCGAGGTGATCTACAGACCTCGAGGTTCCTAGTTAGACTCTGGTTCGCATTGGCATCTAGAAATCCACAGTTCCACTCCAGGTTACGGGGTGGACGTCTCAAGGTGGACTTCTCAAAGTTGGTCTAAAGCCCAAGTCTCGGTGATCTACAGGGCTCAAGATTCTGAGTTAGACTCTGGTTCGTGTAGATTTCACATCCACAGTTCGAGTCCCGGTCACATGTATCGTGGTGAGTGTATTGGTGAGTGAGTGTGGTGATGAGTGAGTGTGGTGGGTGAGTATAGTGATGAGTGAGTGCGGTGGTGAGTGTAGTGATGAGTGAGTATAGTGGTGAGTGTAGTGGTGCGTGAGTGTAGTGTTGAGTGAGTGTAGTGGTGAGTGTAGTGGTGAGTGAGTGTAGTGGTGAGTGAGTGTAGTGGTGAGTGTAGTGGTGAGTGTAGTGATGAGTGAGTGTAGTGATGAGTGTAGTGGTGAGTGAGTGTAGTGGTGAGTGTAGTGGTGAGTGTAGTGATGAGTGAGTGTAGTGGTGAGTGTAGAAGTGAGTGTAGTGGTGAGTGTAGTGTAGTGGTGAGTGAGTGTAGTGATGAGTGAGTGAGTGTAGTGGTGAGTGAGTGTAGTGGTGAGTGTAGTGGTGAGTGAGTGTAGTGGTGAGTGAGTGTAGTGGTGAGTGAGTGTAGTGATGAGTGTAGTGGTGAGTGTAGTGGTGAGTGAGTGCAGTGGTGAGTGAGTGTAGTGATGAGTGAGTGAGTGTAGTGGTGAGTGAGTGTAGTGGTGAGTGTAGTGGTGAGTGAGTGTAGTGATGAGTGAGTGAGTGTAGTGGTGAGTGTAGTGGTGAGTGTAGTAGTGAGTGTAGTGGTGAGTGAGTGTAGTGATGAGTGAGTGAGTGTAGTGGTGAGTGAGTGTAGTGGTGAGTGTAGTGGTGAGTGAGTGTAGTGGTGAGTGAGTGTAGTGGTGAGTGTAGTGGTAAGTGAGTATAGTGGTGAGTATAGTGGTGAGAGTAGTGGTGAGTAAGTGTAGTGGTGAGTATAGTGGTGAGTGTAGTGGTGAGTGTAGTGGTGAGTGTAGTGGTGAGTGAGTGTAGTGGTGAGTGTAGTGGTGAGTGAGTGTAGTGGTGAGTGTAGTAGTGAGTGAGTGTAGTGGTGAGTGTAGTGGTGAGTGTAGTAGTGAGTGTAGTGGTGAGTGAGTGTAGTGGTGAGTGTAGTAGTGAGTGTAGTGGTGAGTGTAGTGGTGAGTGAGTGTAGTGGTGAGTGAGTGTAGTGGTGAGTGTAGTAGTGAGTGTAGTGGTGAGTGTAGTGGTGAGTGAGTGTAGTGGTGAGTGTAGTGGTGAGTGTAGTGGTGAGTGAGTGTAGTGGTGAGTGTAGTGGTGAGTGAGTGTAGTAGTGAGTGTACTAGTGAGTGTAGTGGTGAGTGTAGTGGTGAGTGAGTGTAGTGGTGAGTGTAGTGGTGAGTGAGTGTAGTGGTGAGTGTAGCGGTGAGTGTAGTAGTGAGTGTAGTGGTGAGTGTAGTGGTGAGCGAGTGTAGTGGTGAGTGAGTGTAGTGGTGAGTGTAGTGGTGAGTGTAGTGAGTGTAGTGGTGAGTGAGTGTAGTGGTGAGTGGAGTAGTGAGTGTAGTGGTGAGTGAGTGTAGTGGTGAGTGAGTGTAGTGGTGAGTGTAGTAGTGAGTGTAGTGGTGAGTGTAGTGGTGAGTGTAGTAGTGAGTGTAGTGGTGAGTGTAGTAGTGAGTAAGTGTAGTGGTGAGTGTAGTGGTGAGTGTAGTAGTGAGTGTAGTGGTGAGTGTAGTAGTGAGTGTAGTAGTGAGTGTAGTGGTGAGTGAGTGTAGTGGTGAGTGTAGTGGTGAGTGAGTATAGTGGTGAGTGTAGTGGTGAGTGTAGTGGTGAGTGAGTGTAGTGGTGAGTGTAGTGGTGAGTATAGTGGTGAGTGTAGTGGTGAGTGTAGTAGTGAGTGTAGTGGTGAGTGTAGTGGTGAGTGTAGCGGTGAGTGTAGTAGTGAGTGAGTGTAGTGGTGAGTGTAGTAGTGAGTGAGTGTAGTAGTGAGTGTAGTGATGAGTGAGTGTAGTGGTGAGTGTAGTAGTGAGTGTAGTGGTGAGTGTAGCGGTGAGTGTAGTGATGAGTGAGTGAGTGTTGTGGTGAGTGAGTGTTGTGGTGAGTGAGTGTAGTGGTGAGTATAGTGGTGCGTGAGTGTAGTGGTGAGTGTAGTGGTGTGTGTAGTAGTGAGTGTAGTGGTGAGTGTAGTGGTGAGTGTAGTGGTGAGTGAGTGTAGTGGTGAGTGTAGTGGTGAGTGAGTGTAGTGGTGAGTGTAGTGGTGAGTGTAGTGGTGAGTGAGTGTAGTGGTGAGTGTAGTGGTGAGTGTAGTGGTGAGTGAGTGTAGTAGTGAGTGTAGTGGTGAGTGTAGTGGTGAGTGAGTGTAGTAGTGAGTGTAGTGGTGAGTGAGTGTAGTGGTGAGTGTAGTGGTGAGTATAGTGGTGAGTGAGTATAGTGGTGAGTGTAGTGGTGAGTGTAGCGGTGAGTGAGTGTAGTGGTGAGTGTAGTGGTGATTGTAGTAGTGGGTGTAGTGGTGAGTGTAGTAGTGAGTGTAGTAGTGAGTGAGTGAGTGTAGTGGTGAGTGAATGTAGTGGTGAGTGTAGTGATGAGTGAGTGTAGTAGTGAGTGTAGTGGTGAGTGTAGTGGTGAGTGAGTGTAGTGGTGAGTGTAGTGGTGAGTATAGTGGTGAGTGTAGTGGTGAGTGAGTGTAGTGGTGAGTATAGTGGTGAGTGTAGTGGTGAGTGTAGTGGTGAGTGTACTAGTGGTGAGTGTAGCGGTGAGCGACTCACCTTCAGGAACTCCTCAAACCCGAGGTCCCCGCTCCTCTGCCCCGCGAGCTCCCGGAGGCGGAACCCGGGGAGGGGGCAGTGCGCCGCGTCGAACACCGCCTTGAGGTCCTGCTCCCCCACATAGCCCCGCCCCTCCACGTCTACAGCACACGGGGGGAGGGGCGAGGAGCGGGGGGGGGCGGTGCCGATTTAATGGGGGGCAAGGAGGGAGAGGGGGGGGTGGATTGAATCGGGGTGGGGGTGTGGCGAGAAGGGAGGGAGAGGGCGGGAATTGTAACCATCGAGGGCCAACTACCCCCGACCCTGACCTTCACGGTGACCCCCTCGACCCTGGCCCTGACCCCGAAGCGTCACTCACCCACGCGTGCGAACGCCTCCCGTAGCTCGTGCACGTCGTCGGTGTGAGACATCTCGAGACTCGGGCTCTGTCCTGAGACGCGTAGGGGTGGAGACACGGAGACGTGGAGACACAGGTGAGAGGAGGCAGAGCGTGAGTGGGTGGCTGGGTGAGTGGGTGGGTGAGTGGGTGGGTGGGTGAGTGGGTGGGTGAGTGGGTGGCTGGGTGGGTGAGTGGGTGAGTGGGTGGGTGAGTGGGTGGCTGGGTGGGTGAGTGGGTGGCTGGGTGGGTGGGTGGGTGAGTGGGTGGCTGGGTGGGTGGGTGGGTGAGTGGGTGGGTGAGTGGGTGGGTGGGTGGGTGAGTGGGTGGGTGAGTGGGTGGGTGAGTGGGTGAGTGGGTGGGTGAGTGGGTGAGTGGGTGAGTGGGTGGGCGGGTGGGCGAGTGGGTGGGTGGGTGGGTGAGTGGGTGAGTGGGTGGCTGGGTGGGTGGGTGGGTGAGTGGGTGGCTGGGTGGGTGGGTGGGTGAGTGGGTGGGTGGGTGGGTGAGTGGGTGGGTGAGTGGGTGGGTTGGTGGGTGGGTGAGTGGGTGGGTGAGTCGGTGGGTGGGTGGGTGAGTGGGTGGGTGGTGGGTGAGTGGGTGGGTGGGTGAGTGGGTGGGTGGGTGAGTGGGTGGGTGAGTGGGTTGGTGAGTGAATGAGTGGGTGGATGGATGAGTAAGTGGGTGGCTGAGTAGGTGGGTGGATGAGTGGGTTGGTAAGTGAATGAGTGGGTGGATGGATGAGTAAGTGGGTGGCTGAGTAGGTGGGTGGATGAGTGAATGAGTGAGTGGGGTGGGTGCGTGAGTGGGTGGGTGAGTGAGTGGGTGGCTGGGTCGGTCAGTGAGTGGGTGACTGGATGAGCAAGTGAGCGGATAATTAAGTGGGTGGGTGAGTGGGTAAAGTGAGTTGGCGAGTGAGTGGGTGAGTAAGTGGGTGGTTGGGTGGGTTGGTGAGTGGGTGGGTGGGTGGACGAGTGAGTGAATGAATGGGTGGGTGAGTGTGGGTAAGTGAATGACGAAGTGGGTGAGTGGGTGGATTGATGGGTGAGATCATGGAGGGTGGGAGGGTGAGTACGTTTTGGGTTATATTAATGAGTGGGTGGGTAAATGGGTGAGTGAGTGGGTGGGTAAATGACTAGGTAGGTGAATAGGTGGGTGAGGGAGTGAGTTGGTAGGTGAGTGAGTGGGTGAGTGAGTTTGTAGTTATATGAATGGGTGAGTGAGTGTGTAGGTAAGTGAGTGAGTATGTGAGTGAGTGAGTGTGTGGGTGAGTAAGTGAGTGAGTGTGTGGGTGCATGAGTTAGTGGGTAAGTGTGTGAGTGAGTGTGTGGGTGCTGAGTGTATCCGTGAGTTGGTGAATGAGTGAGTGGGTGAGTGAGTGAGTGGGTGCTGAATGTATGCATGAGTGGGTGAATGAGTGAGTGGGTGCTGAATGTGTGCGTGAGTGGGTGAATGAGTGAGTGGGTGAGTGAGTGAGTGGGTGCTGAATGTGTGCGTGAGTGGGTGAATGAGTGAGTGGGTGAGTGAGTGTGTATTTTTCAAGAGCGTCCTGTTCGCGGTATGAGGCAATGTTGGTGCTGTGCACAATCCCCATGCAGTAATTTGCAGGAAGCATTGTGATGTGTTTGGCCAATACCGATTAGCACGTTTGGGTACGTACGGTGCGAAAGAAGTTCGGCATACATACTACCCATAGACGAACACCGCCCATAGACTACCCATAGACTAACACTACCCATAGACTCAATACTGCCCATAGACTCAACACTGCCCATAGACTCCACACTTACCCATAGACTCAATACTGCCCATAGACTCAACATTACCCATAGACTAACACTACCCATAGACTAACACTACCCATAGACTCAACACTGCCCATAGACTCAACACTACCCATAGACTCAACATTACCCATAGACTCAACACTGCCCATAGACTAACAATGCGTACGGTGTGTACAGAACAGCGGGATAAAATACAAGCCCTACACACACACACAAATATAAAGATTCCCCGTGTAGCCTTAACAGACTGTTGGGGCAAATGCTGTTAGCGAGCATCTCTGAAGGCCGGCACGGCACACGAGGGGGTGGGTGGCCAACACCACGCCCGGCCGCCTTTGTCTCCCCAGTGGTGATGTTCACACACCGCACCAGGTACCCATTTGAGGCTAAGTTGACCTAGGGGAGGCCCAGGACCGGTTCAGATAATCGTCACTGGTGTTGGCCGTGAGCGGGAATCAAACCCGGGTCGCCAGGTTCATAGCGCAGCGCGCTTACCACTACACTATCGCTCATCCACACTCACCAACACACACTCACTGTCACACACTCTCACACCCTTACACTCACTCACTCTCACGACACACACACTCACCACACACTCACCACACACACTGTCACACTCACCACACACATTCTCACCAAACACACTCTCACACACTCACACACATTCACTCACCACACACACACTCACTCTCACCACACACTCGCCTCACACACTCACCACACACTCTCACCACACACTCACCACACTCATCACACACACATTCACTCACCACACTCACCACACACACATTCACTCACCACACACACTCATCACACACACCACACACTCACCACACTCACCACACACACATTCTCACCACGCACACTCTCACACACTCACACACACACTCACCACACACACACTCACTCTCACCACACACACTCACCACACACACTCACCACACACTCACCACACACACTCACCACACACTCACCACACACTCTCACCACACACTCACCACACACACACACTCGCTCTCACACACTCTCACACCCTTACACTCACTCTCACCACACACTCACTCACCACACACACTCACCACACACACACCACACACTCTCACCAAACACACACACACACACTCACCACACACACACTCACCACACACACACTCACTCTGACCACACACACTCACCACACACACTCACACACACTCACCACACACACTGTCACACTCACCACACACATTCTCACCACACACACTCTCACACACTCACACGCACACTCACCACACACACACTCACCACACACACACTCACCACACTCACCACACACACTCACCACACACACACTCACCACACACACTCACCACACACACACACTCTCACCACACACACACACACTCACCACACTCACACACTCACCACACACCCCCACACACACTCACTCACCACACACACACACACTCACCACACTCTCACACACACTCACTCACCACACTCACACACACACTCACCACACTCACCACACACACACACACTCACCACACTCTCACACACACTCACTCACCACACTCACACACACACTCACCACACTCACCACACACACACACACTCACCACACACACACACTCACCACACACACACTCACCACACACACTCACCACACTCACCACACACCCCCACACACTCACCACACACACACACTCACCACACTCACCACACACACACACTCACCACACACACTCACCACACACACACACTCACCACACACACTCACCACACTCACCACACACCCCCACACACTGGCTCGCTCCCTCCCACGCCCGCTCCCGTTTCCTCCCTCGCTCCCCTTATCTCCCGCTCACCTGCCCCGCTCCCAAGCTCCCCTCACCGCCCTCCCTCCTCGGCGGTGACTCACCACCATGCACGGGGGGGGTTGGTGGGGAGCGGTGGGCGTAGTGGTTAGCGCACTGCGCCCTGTTGCTCGCAGTTCGCCGATCGTCCGATTTGGCGTGCGCGGCTAACGTCAGTGGCGAGTGAGTGACAACCCCAGGTCACCTCGACACCGGCGGGTCTTCACCTTGCACTGCGGCCTTGCACCAATTTGGTAATTGCCAATCTTCATTTTTGCTTGTTAGAGGCCGTCCATAAATGACGTCACGCGATTTGGGACGATTTTTGACCCCCCCCCCCACTTCAAATATGACGTCACAAAGCTCTGCCCACCCCCCCCCCCCCCAAAAAAAATGTTAAACGCGCTTCAAATCGCTTTGAACTATTGTCACATTGTAGGTGCGTATTTAATGTGGCGCTGCGCTCTGATGCTGTAGCAGAAAACATTTATTAAAAAAAGTCTATTTAATTAAGTAGAACGCGTTGCCAATATTTATTTAAAGTTGCGCGTTTTGACGTGACGTCACATCTCTCAACCCCACCCCCCATCGTCACACATCGTCACAAATGTCTGACCCCCCCTCCCTCCCTCCCCTCCCCTCCCCCCAATGTGTGCGTGACGTCATTTATGTATATAATGTTTAATAACTCCATAATAGAGGGGGAGGAGGGGAGAGTTAGATCGTTTAAATTTAAATGCGTCGTGAAACCCGCCACCACCCGACCGCGGACAATTCGTAAGTTCTGTCACGGAAAACAGAAGGAGCCAATTCGTCGACTCCCCAACACACGCAGCCGGTTGCGCTGCAACTAGCAACGCAAACGCCACGTTCAGTTTTTTTTTAACGTGACAAACAGCTTACCGATTCGATTCAAAGCTTTTCGTGACTGCAAGGATTCATCTCCTTTGGTTCTTTCGGTAAAGTCGTCACCACCGCGTAGAATGAGAATGAAATGATAAATTTATTAAATAAAATGACGCAATCAAATTCCCACGACGTTTCGACCACAACGCAAGTGGCCTTCTGCAGGTGAAAGGAACAGAACTGTCGGGACGACAGAGCTTCAATGAACGTTGTTAAGATTCGTAGCGTCTTTTTAAGCTGGTTGAGAGAAGTGAGGCACCTTGACAAAGGGATTTACATATCAAACAGGAGAATTTAGCATGGAAATAGCTGAGTGATTAGCTTGTGTTGACTTTAACATAGCTATTTCGATGACCAGTCACAAGCTAATCACTCAGCTATTTCAATGCTAAATTCTCCTGTTTGATATGTAATATATGACTTTAACATAGCTATTTATATGACCAGTCACAAGCTAATCACTCAGCGATTTCAATGCTAAATTATCCTGTTTGATTTGTACTAGGTGCCTCTGTGGATGTGTAGG